TGGAACATCCTCGACCACGACACCTCCCAAGTGGTGGCAGCTCGTGACGTCATCTTCTACGAGGATCTCACAATCCGCAAGTTCCAGTACGACCGCCATGCTGACCGCACCAGGGGAGAAACCAACGTTGCGGACTACGATCGACCCTCGCGCAGCTTCTTCACCCCTGACGACGAAGCGGAAGCAGCGCTTGCGGACCAAGACCCCACGGACCCCCACCACGGCCCACGCCCCTGGAGCGATGAAGACGACGACGAGGACAGCGCTCCCCTCGACTCCTCGCGGGACTCCCTCCTCAGCCCCACACCCTCCAACGGCCACGGCTCCGACGATGACGTCGTGGAAGTCACCCGCAACCAACGTCACAGCCCTGGCATCTCTGGCCTCCACATTCTGGGCCTACACGCAGCCGTCTCCCACTCTCCCAAGGCGGTCGAACCCAAAACCCCACGTCAGGCTCTCACCGGCCCTTACGCCAAGGAGTGCATCGAACACTTCAAAGCTCGCTGGGTCGTCCGCGGCTTCGACCAACGTCACGGCGTGGACTTCGACCAAACCTTCGCACCTGTCACCCGCCACACCTCCGTCCGCATTCTCCTCGCCATCGCAGCAGCCAAGCATCTCCCCCTCCGCCAAATCGACGTCAAAAATGCCTTCCTTTACGCTCCTGTCGACGCACTCATCTTCGTCGAACAACCCCACACCTACGGTGACGGCGATAACCGCGTGTGTCAGCTGCGCAAGTCCCTCTACGGCATCAAGCAGGCACCTCGCCTCTGGCAGCAGCATCTTCACCAAATCCTCCTGGACATCGGCTTCACACAACTGCCCCACGACCCTGGCATGTACCGTCTGCACTACCGCGTAGATTACATCCTCCTCACGGCCTATGTGGACGACCTGCTCTACACCGGCACCAACACCGATCTCCTCGAGCAGTTCGAGAAGAACCTCAGTAACCGCGTGGAAATCACCAGCAACAACTCCGTCACTCAGTTTCTCGGCCTCAACATCACCTACACCAATGACGCCATTCACCTCTCCGCCGCCAAGTATGCAGACGCACTTTCAACCAAGTTCAACATCAAACCAGCCAACCTCTCAACCCCCTACCGCACCCCGGCAACCACAGCAACCGTCATCACCAACCCTCTCTGCCCCGTCAAACACCGCCTCTACCAACAGCAACTCGGCTGTCTTCTCTTCGCCGCTGTGACGTGCAGGCCTGACTTGTCCTACATCGCCAGCCAGCTCGCTCAGTATGCCAAGCGGCCTGAAGGGGAGCACATGCTGGATTTACAGCGCGCCCTGCAATATTTCATCTCCACGCCGCACATCGGACTCACCTACTCCACCCTCGCGACTCGCTCATTCAACCTCGTTGGATACGTGGACGCAGATCACGCCGCTGACCCTGCAAATCGACGGTCCCGAACCGGCTTCCTCTTCCGCCTCGAGCCAACGGGACCAATTTCCTGGAATTCCCAGAAGCAGGAAATGGTGGCACTCTCTTCTGCCGAAGCCGAGTTCATCGCCGCCACGTCAGCCGTTCGCGAAGGACTCTACCTCCAGGAACTACTTCAGGAGGCGAAAATTGCGACGTCCGCGAGCTTCAAACTGCACTGCGACAACCAGAGCGCGATCAAAATCGCGAACAAGCCTGGCTTCGTCAACCGCACCAAGCACATCGCGCTCCGCTACTTCTTCGTCAAAGACGAAGTTGACAAGGGCAAAGTCATCTTGACTTACTGCCCCACCGGTGACATGGCAGCCGATTTTCTCACCAAGAAACTGCCACGTCAGCAGTACCAGCACTGCGGAGCCATCTGCGGTATAACCAAGCGCGTCAAGACTTCGCCACTCCAGGAATGAAGGGGAGTGTTACGATATGGAATGACTAAAACATTCCTAAAGTAACGAACTCTTAACGCGAAGATGACTGCAGCGAGGACGAAAGACCAAGCGTCAAGACAGTTATCGAAGACGGTTGCAAGCAGGAAGAATTCGAGATGAAAAGAGCGGGGAAATTTCAAACGGTTACCGAACCGCGTACAGTTACCGTGCCGCACAGTTGCAATCCTGCATCTAGATTAGCCCTAAGGGGAATGTACCCCCTCAGAGTACATGGCTAGCTAGGACCTTTCGTATTCCATTGTATTCCTATATAAACCCTTGTACCGCATTGTGTTAATCACTTCTGTCGAGATTCAAATCTCCTTCTACTGACAGAGTCCGTACCCGACATTACTTCAACCTTCCGCTGCTACACTTCGTGCGATCAACCTGAGACGATCCTATAAGACGGTTCAGATTGCATCAAACGTAACATATGTTTTTTGAAAACCATCTCGTAATCCTCATCCATTTTTTTATATGACTCTACATTATCCGGGTAGCTCTAGAAACCTCGCCTGCGGCAGTGAGCGCATCTTTCATGCCCCTTTGCGGGATTATACATTGGGAGAAGAGACTTAGGGTGGGTGAATACTGCAAGCCACGAGGGGCTGGCGGATGACATCATGCGGGTGTGAGGTGGGTGAATGATGCAAGCCACGAGGGTAGAGTGAGGGGCTGGTGGGTGACTTCATGCGGGTGTGAGGTGGATGAATGATGAAAGCCACGAGGGTAGAATGAAGGGCTGGTGGGTGAATTCATGCGCCTGTGAGGTGGGTGAATGATGCAAGCCACGATGGTAGAGTGAGTGGGTGGTGGGTGACTTCATGCGGGTGTGAGGTGGGTGAATGATGCAATCCACGAGGGTAAAATGAGGGGTTGGTGGGTGACTTCATGCGCCTGTGAGGTGGGAGAATGATCCAAGCCACGAGGGTAGAGTGAGGGGCTGGTGGTTGACTTCATGCGGGTGCGAGGTGGGTGAATGATGCAAGCCACGAGGGTAGAGTGGGGGGCTGGTGGGTGACTTCATGCGGGTGCGAGGTGGGTGAATGATGCAAGCCGCGAGGGTAGAGTGAGGGGCTGGTGGCACGTACCTATGGAGCGCTATGTTGACGTCATTGTTTGCCGGCGCCGCAATAGGTTGAAGGCTTCTGGCTATACTTGCGCCCTCCCCCCTACGCCATCTTCTGTACCCACCAGTCTGCAAGGTATAGTGGCTAGGGCTGGCAGAGCCTACCCCCCTCCCTACATTGTCATCTCTTGGGCCACGTGGTGACCCCTCAGCTGTTGCACCTGCTGCAGGAGACTCTCCCACTCCTCCACCCCTTCCTGCAGGCGGACGGACATTTGGGCTTCCCCTGCTACTTCCCGCGTGCCTATCCCCACCAGTGTCACGGGAGCTTCCTTGTCTGCGGTCAGAGGGGATACCAACGCCAAGGGTTCCCTGCCCATCATTCATCGCCGTCTCTTGGCACGTGGAGGGTCCTGTGGCGTTTGCACCCCTGGTTCCACCGTTGGAATCAATCCGCTCAGCAAGGTCAATCCATGGGGCAATGTCGCGACTCCAACGTTGCGCCTTGCGCCAGTTAGGGTGTTGGCGTACGTCCGCCATAATATAGGCCGGGTGATTAAACGTAGAGGTACGAGGGTCCCAATCCACAACGGTGGAATTAACAATTGCAACCACTTGATATGAAAGAGCAACTCGTTACTACTCTTAGACGATTCTCCAACTGATCCGCGCTATAGGCCAAGTCGCTATGCAGTAGCATCCACTCAGCCTGTACCTCAGCCCAACTGGTAAATGGATCAACACGCGCAACAGATTCGTTGTATGTTTGTGAGACCAGGGTTGGGCGCGCTATTCGGATTCCCCGGATTGCCACTAAATGCGACTGTGGCTTCGCTCTCTGTCCCCCCCGGTATCTGAGACTTCCGGAGCTGATTCGAACTAGGAATAGGTCCGTTGTAGGAATGTTTGTGAAATTTATACCTGCCCTGGACCACTTGGTACTGTCCCTGGATCCCCCCTCTGAGCGGGAACCAGGGCCGCACCAGTCCCGCACCCATTTTGCCTGGGAGCGAGGGATAGCTTTCACTTCACTAGGCCCTGTTCTGTTCGCTCGGCTAAATGGTGGGCGGACAACACAGCACCGCACCAGCTGTACGACAGGAGGCTCGGTACGTATTAAACAATTTGAAGGCTCACGCAATCTTTCTGCCCCCCTCCGCGCATTTCCAGGGCTAAGGTTATTTTTTTCCTTCGCATACCATCAAACCTCCTCTCGCACCAGCCATTGGATGGTTGGATGGCCTGAAAGCAAAGGGCCCAACCAGGACAAAGAAAAGCATTTATCCCTGCCCTTAACCACTTGGTGCTGTCTTTGGATCCCCCCTCTGAGCGGGGACCAGGGCCGCACCAGTCCCGCACCCATTTTGCCTGGGAGTGGGGGATAGTTTTTGCTACACAGGTTCATCGTTCGTTTTGGCAAATGTGGGCGGGCTGCACTGCACGGCACTCATTAGGTCTGGGAAGGGGTTCAGTTTCCCGAGCCTGGTATCAAGGAATACGCCCTCGTAAAACAAGCTTGTAGAATCTCCGGTAGAACGCGGGAAGAAGCATCAGATGGTGTTGGGCGGAGGGGCCTGCACCAAGTAGTGCGGCAACAAAACAGGGCCTACAGGTGGAACAATTTCATATGCACCAATCACATCTGCTCCGTCTTGGAATACCGCCGCCTGGCGACTAGGAAAACTTTAAAGCCTGACAACAGCCCTTTTTCGCTTCCGTTTTGATGAACATTCATGTTTCGCCCGTTACAGAGATGATGCATGCGAATTGAGTAACCAAACACGGTTCGACTTCTCACACGTAAACCCGAATCCGAAGTCACACGCCCTGTGGGCCCACCCTAAAGAGAATTCAAATCACCTCTGCGGCACCTACTTTTCATACCTCTCCCCACATCTGTTCGCGCCAGTCGCCATTCCAGCCGAACCCGCGTCAACCGTCTCGTACGTAGATCGCCGTTCGTCTGTGACCTGTCCTCTCCTCGAGTGCCGTCACTTGCTGCGCGCCGATCGTCTCGCACTCACGCCGGTCCGCCATGGCACACGCGACTCGCATCGCGCGGCAGGCAGTGCAGGCCGCGACGAGCGCGCGCGCGCGATTCTCTACGGAGGCGGCGAAAGCTTCGCGCGAGACGCTGGTGAGGCGAGCAGCGGGTGAGGCGAGCAGCGGGTGAGCGCCTTACCGAGCTGAGCGTAGCCGTCGATCTTACCGCGTCTCGCCTTGTGCGCGGTCGTCGATCTTTCCCATGCTGCCATCTCCCTCCCACTGCTGTAGCCCCCCCTGGCCGCGCGGTCCACCGTGGGTGCGCGTGGTGCACGACGCGAGGCGCGCTTGCCGCTCCACACTTGTCCACCTCAGCCGCCCTATCTCGCGTTCTGCGCTCGGAAATCGCCCTCCCTCTTGGCATCTCGCTGCTGGCCGCCCGTCACAAAGCCCCCTGGCTGTCGTGTCATTGTCCCCCCTCCCGCCTCCAGCCGTCTTTCTCCCTCCCCGACGCTCGTCCTTCCCTTTTCACCCACCTCTCCCCGTCCCCAGCTGGTGGAGGACGACGCGGCGCTGCGCAAGTACAACCCGCAGAAGGCCGCGCTCGCCACCTGCAACACCGTTGGTAACGCCGTCACCGCGCTCGTGCTCGCAGGTAGGGCACCGTGATGATGTGGCAGTCTGATGACGTGGCAGCAGCCCTCAGCACGTGGCTGCCTGATCACGTGGCAGGCCGATTTGATATTTATGCTTGTCCTGGCGAAGTGCGAGCATCATTCGCCGGCCTCTGAGCGTGCCTGTGCACGTCATCATTGCAAGCTTGCCTTGCACCGAGAACCGCGGCATTGAGAAACCCATCCCACCACACAGCGTTTGTTGCACGCGTGAATCGCCAGTGGCGTAAATGCCGCCCTCCATGCTGTGAAGCCACTGGTCCCCTCCCTCTTCCTCACACTCGTGTGCCCCTGCCCCCTCCCTTCCCTCCCTGCATGCATGGCAGCGGGAGCCGTGGACCTGTCATACCGTGTCATGAACGCACGCTCTGACCAGTGAGGCCGCCTGCGCTGCGCCACCAGGGGCCGTTGCCGTAGCACACGGCAGGTGCGGCATGGTGGTGATGCCCCCAGCATGGATTGCCTGGCCGTGCCATGCCATGCCATGCTATGTCACATGCACAGTGATTGCAAGCAGACATGTGGTGGCATGCATTACGAGGCACTGCCACCTCATGCCGCTGGCTCTCCCGCTTCCCTAACCCTTCATCCACTGCTCCCCGCCTGCTACCCATCCGCCCCTGACTTCTCCCCCTCACTCGCTCCCCACCACCCACCTTGTCACGTCGAAGCCAGCGGGGCATCCGTTCATCACCATCACGCGCATCGCCATGCTTGCGGCCACTGCTATCATGCTCTCAACTCCACTGCCCACTGTGATGCACATGGATGGCTCATAGACTCACCAGCTAATTGCTGAGGCCAGGCTAGGAATTTGGGAATGTTGGCCGTGTATAATAAACTGTTGGTGTTTCAATCGAAGTTGTGAATGGCATCAGCAGATTGTGAAAGCGAATATATAGGTTTGCTACCCAACCGAACAGGAAAACCTCTAAACCGAACCTGTAGCTTGGTTCAATCCCAACTGCGGGCACGCCGGTCTACGATTGGTCGGCCCAAGCAATCCGTTTGCGCTACGTGGCGACGTGCACCACTCACGGCGCTCCTCGATTCTCACCTGCACCGCTTCCCTAGGGGGAGGCCAAGGGACAGCCAGCCAGCGAGCCCAGGGAGAAAGCTTTATTTCCGAGCGCCGGCGGTTTTCCAATGAGTCAGGAGCGCCGTCGCGACGAGGTCCGTGCGAGCTGCCATGCGGAAGGCCGTGGTGGCGACGGGGGCTTTAGTGAATGCGAGAATGTGATCTCGTCGCGCCGGCTTCTTGCGTTCCTTCGTAGTTGCTCCACGCCGTTGGCGAGCTCTGGCGAAATTGTTGGCGAAAGCGCGGAGAAAGCGAGGCGAAGAATGGTCGAGGCGTTTCTTGGCGCGCGAGAGGCGCGGGCGAGCGTTACGAGACGCTCCCGTGCTGCCAGCGAGTCGCTGATGAACCGGAAATTAAGCACACGGCACGCGCAGAGTGGAGGCGGGAGAGGCGGGTGTGAGTGGGGTGGCACGGGGGATGGGGGTGGTGGCAAGGGGGATGGGGGTGGTGGCGTGGGGGATGGGGGTGGTGACGCGGGGGATGGGGGTGGTGGCGCGGGGGATGGGGGTGGTGACGCGGGGGATGGGGGTGGTGACGCGGAATGGCTCGGCGGCCGCAGCAGCGACGAGGAGGAGGAGAAGGCGAGCGGCGGCGGCGAGGACGCGCGCGACGAGGCGCAGCTGGGCGAGCTGCTCCCCGTGGCCGGCTCTGTGTGGCAAGCGGACGCGCCACAGGCGGAAGTGGGGCAGGCGGAAACTGCTGAGGCGGTTACTAGGCAGGCGGAAACGGGTCAGGCGGAAATCAGGGGGGCGGAATCGAGGCCAGCGGAAACGGGTCAGGCGGAAACGAGGGGGGCGGAAACGAGGGGGGCGGAGGTGGAGAGGGGAAGGGCGGAGGAGGCGCAAGGAGCGAGCGGAGCTGCTGACGCCCATGGCGCACCCTCGGCACTGGCGACGCCCTCGGCACTGGCGACGCCGCACCCTGCTCGTGCTCCCGCTGGTGCTGCCACCGCGGCACGCGAGGCGCGCACAGCGCCCGCGCTGGAGGCGTCTGGCGGAGGGGCGGGGCTGTCGCTGCGTGGCCTAGGCGTGAACGCGCTCGCTGCCGCGCGGGAAGGGGAAGAAGAACGGGAGGCAGGGGAAGGAGAAGGGGAAAGGAGGGAAGGGAAAGGGGAAGAGAAGAAAGGCGAGGAAAGAAAAGTGGAAGGGGAAGGAGAGGAGGGGGAGGGAGAGGGAGGAGAGAAAGGGGAAGGAGAAAAAGGGGAAGGAGATGGAGGGGAAGGAAAGAAGGCGGGTGGCAAAGAGTGGGGGCGGGGCGAGCAGCGCGCAGGCAGTGAGGGCGAGGCGGGCCTCCGCGCGCACCACCTGCTGGCGCTGCTCAAGGCGGCCGCTGCTGCTGGCGGGCGCTGCTCGCTGCCCGTGAAAGGCGCTGGCGAGGCGGGCGACAGCGGCAGTGCAGGGGAGGGCGGAGGAGGCGGAGAGGGCGGAGGGGAGAGCGAGCAGCGGCGGATGGTGGCGGCGTTCCTGCGCGCGCGCGAGGCGGGCGCAGTGGTGGCGCGGGGGAGGGGGGGACGAGGCGAGGAGAGGGCGCGCAGGAGGCAGAGGCGCGCAGGCAGGGGCGGACGCGTGGGGAGGGGGCGCTGGCAGGGGGGAAAAGGCGCGAGGCGAGATGGGGGAGCAGGCAGGGGAGGGGACGTGGAAGGGGGGGACGGAGTGGTTGAGGGCGACGAGGAGCGGCGAGCAGGGCGAGATGGTGGGCATGGTGGTGCCGTGCATGGCAGTGCGACGGACAGCAGCGAGGGCGGCGAGTCAAGCGACGGGCTGGAGGAGCTGATGGTGGTGGCGGGGTTCGACCGCTGCGACGAGGCCACAAGGCACGAGCAGCACGCTCACGCAGGTGGTGCTGCAGCGCGCAGCACTGTGGTGCTGCCCCGGTTGGCGCGTGTGCAGCACCGCGCTGAGTGGAGCGAAGAGTCGGTGAGTGGTGCACTGTGTGCTTGCTGCCCACTGCCCACTGCATGCTGCTTGCTGGTGTAGGTGGCATGTGGGTGGTGTGGAGAGGAGCGTGTGGGGGATAGAGAGGCAGCAAGTGAGGACGCTGCAATGGAGGGCGGTGGAAGGAGGTGCGGTGAGGTCATTCAGTGGTTTGCCGAGAAGAGCATGTGTTGCCATGCCACTGTGGTGGTGCTCATTCCTCACTGTGGTGGTGCTCATTCCTCACTGTGGTGGTGCTCATTCCTCACTGTGGTGGTGCTCATTCCTCACTGTGGCATCTCCCTGCATCCACACCCTCTCAACCATCCCCATTCATCATGCTTCTCTACATGCTCAACACGCCCTCCCACGCAACCCCCTCTTTCCATGCTCTGCGTGCTGTCACCACTCCCTTCAGGCATGCACCCTCCTTGCGACCACCTACATCGCTCCCCATGCCTCTGCGTCTGCACGTGTGGCGGAGGGGCAGGGAGGGCGTGCGGGTGCGGGCGTGCGTCGGCGGGACCGGCAGGCCAGCGAGGCGCGGCGCAGGAGCAGGCTGGCCGCGGCAGCGGCAGCTGCGGCAGCAGAGGCGGCACGCAGGGCGGCAGGCGGGGCGGCGCACTCGCGTGACGGACTGAGAGAGACACGGCAGCGCGAGCGAGAGGAGAGGGCAAGGAGGCGAGCAGGGGGGCTGGGAGGGGAGAAGGAGTCAGCGGCGTTTGATGCGCGTGGCGAGGTGAAGGAAGCAGGTGAGGAGGGCGGCATGGTTGCGGTAGGCGAAGGCGACAGGGGGGGTGTGATGGGTGCGGACGCACTGCGTGGCGGGCGCGTGCACTGGCGTGCGCGGCGACTCTCATGGGGAGGGGCTGAGTGCGGTGAGAGTGGGAAGGGAGCAGAGGAGGGTGTGAGGCGGACACGATTGAGAGGGAATGGGCGTGTGCGAGTGAGTGAGGAGGAGGTGATGAGGAAGGAGGCGAGTGAGAGCGAGTCTGATGGGCTGGAGGGGGAAGTCAAGGAGGAGGTGGAGGAGGAGGAGGGGAGGAAGAGGTTCAGGCAGTGGGGGAGTGAGGGCTGTGGGGGGAGGGCGAGACAGGAGCTCAAGGGGCGGAGTGGCGTGCGTGGGCGGAGGGTAGCTGAGGGGGCTCGTGTGGAGGGCTGCAGGGAAGTGGAGAGAGTGAGTGGGGCAGGTAGTGGTGGAGGGGACGAGGTGATCAGGACGGGCAGGGCAGCGGAGACGAGGAGTGAGAAGGAAAGGGTAAGAGAAGAGAGGGCAAGAGCGGCGAGAAGTGAGGAACGGGTAAGAGGTGGAGACGTGAGCGGCGTTAAGTCCGGGGTGCCCAGTCCCAGGCAGCACGTGCGCGATGCGACTGGCAAGTTCGCTGCATGCAGGGTGGTTGAGGAGAAGGGAGTTGGGAAGAAGAGAAGGAGAGGGGAAGGCGAGGAACGCGGTGCGGGTGTGCCGGGCGTAGTGGGGATGCAGCGAGGAGAGGTGGAGGGAAGAGGCGGTGGTTGGGCGGGGGTACACGTGCAGGGCGCAGAGGGGGTAGAGGGGAGAGGCACGGGCGTCCCTGTGACTCCCCAACAGGTGGAGGGGAACCTACGCAGGGTGGCTGCGGTGGCAGCAGGAAGAGCAGCAGTGAAGCCTGCACAAGCACCACCGGTAGTTGCTGCAGCACCAGAGCCAACAGAAGCAGTAGCAGGAGAAGCACCATCAGCAGCAGCAGCAGCAGCAGCAGTAGCGGCACCAATGCCATCACCAGCATCAGCAGTAGCAGAGGGTGTGGCAGCAGCAGGGGTGGCAGTGGGAAGCGGTGGCGGCGGTGCAGAGGAGGCAGGGTCATCCCTGCGGGGCACGGTGCGGGGGGCGCTGCGCAGCATGGGGCTGTATGAGGGCAAGCGCGCCATGGTGGGGGAGGTGCGGCGGCAGGCGGTGGCGGTGGCAGGCAGTGCCATGCGCGCCGTGCAGGACAGCAGGCGCGAGGAGGAGCGGGCCGTGCGCGCCATGCGCGCAGCAGAGGCGGCAGAGGCGGCGCGGGTGGCGGCGGTGCAGGTGGAGTGTGACGCGCGCATCAACGCCTTCATGCACCGGCTGTTCCAAGGCATGAGCGCCCTCTGATGTGATGTCGCCCCTGCTGCAGTGAGGGTGCTGGAGCAGGTGCAGCGAGTGGAAACAGAGTGAGAAAGCATTGCAACAAGAGGAAAGCCTTTGCATTGGAGTACACTAGAGTGCTACAAGGGTAGCATGCTGTAGTTGTTGGAATGTGGCAGTCAAGTCATCATACCCACTCCCTCTCAGATGCCCCCTCCCTTACTCTTCCATGCACGCCTTGCTGCACTCATATAGCTGAGCCACTGCTTGGGCTGTGTGGTTGTACTCTGAGCTGCGGCACTGGTTCGGACCCTTGGGTTGGGATGCTTTTCACTCATCCCACCTCACAACGAATCAATAAAAACAACTGCAAAATTTGGTTCTCAGAAGAATGAGTTATTTGCAATGTGGGTGAAGCTTGCCCAAGCAAATGATCCATGCATGCAGTCCACAAATTAGCAAACATACGCTGAACTGAACTATTCCAGGCAAGGGCCTCAACTCATGGCAGCACGCCCTTGCACCAGCAGCGCTTGCCGCTTTGCCACTGGGGGGGGGACGCGGCCTGCTGGCAGCTGCTGCAGCGGAGCGTGTGGTGCTAAGGGGGAGGAGGCAGAGGGATGAGCGAAGGATGTGCGGCACGAGGGTGGTCAGCCAAGGCGAGGCGGTGCAGGGCGGAGACAGTGGGGAGGACGAGGGGGGGAAGAAGACCGTCAGAGGGGGGCGGCAGGGAAGCCAGGCGCGGGAGCAGCAGGGGGGTAGCCGAACACGGGGCGCTGGCACGTCTGTGGGGGGCGGGGAGAGGGAGGGGCGAGCAGCTATGAGAATGGAATGCCAGGTGAAAGTGCTGTGTGTGCGTGCAAGTGCATGTGAGTGCGTGAGTGGTGGAGTGTGCAAGGATGCGAGCGAATGCAGCCAGCGCTCATGCATCAACGGAATGCATGAGAGCAGCGCACGACAGATGAGGCAGGCGAGGGGGATGGGGCAGGCGAGGGGGATGAGGCAGATGGGACAGCAGAGCGTGAGAGTAGCAGACGGCCTACCTCGTGCAGCTGTGGGATGCAGCAGGGCAGGCAGGCGAGCGGCCAGCAGAAGATGAGCGCCACGATCGTCGCCAGCCACCCCACGCCGCTTAGCGTCTGCACCGCGCAGCACCCCGTCTGGCGGGGGGTAGAGGGGGGGAAGGGTGGGGAGCGGATGGACGGATGGCGCGTGAGGCAAGAGTGGGGAGCGGGAGAAAGGGGAGCGCATTATGCGGGCGAGCATGGGAAGGGAGGGAGGTGGTGCTGTGATGACGACGAGGTGGGCCGTCCACTCTTGCATGCACGCTGCGAGTTCATGCACGCTGCGAGTTCATGCACGCTGCGAGTTCATGCACGCTGCGAGTTCATGCACGCTGCGAGTTCATGCACGCTGCGAGTTCATGCACGCTGCGAGTTCATGCACGCTGCGAGTTCATGCACGCTGCGAGTTCATGCACGCTGCGAGTTCATGCACGCTGCGAGTGCATGCACGCTGCGAGTGCATGGATGCGCGACTAATCGATCAAAACGACCCCAACGCGCCAATGACTTGATCCTACGAAATGAGAAGCCGGCGAGCGGGTGACGCGCGACTCACGGGCGGCGCGCAGGTCTCGTAGCCCAGAATGACTTGATCGGCGGCGGGCGGCACCCGCGGCGGCAGCATGTAGAGCCCGGGGATGGGCGCCGGGGAGAACACGGGGAACTCGCCGCCGGCCGCCCCGTGCGCCACCACCACCACGGCGGCCGGGTAGCCCGGAGGAGGCGGAAACTGCGGCGGATACGCCCCGCATGCGGGGGGGTGGTGCGGGTGGTGGGCGAACTGAAAGGCGGGCTGGCCGGCGGCTGGCGCGGGGCTCGCAGCGGCATCTGCGCTGCCGTGCGGGGGAGCTTCGGATGACTCGCTGTGGGGCTTTAGCGGCGTGGAATCCGACGGACCTGGTAGGCAACGCACACGAGAGAGGACGGGACGTACACGGAAACCGTTAACAAGAGACAGTAGCGCGCGATCAGTGCGAATGATGAGGGCCGATGCTTCATGCGGATAGCTGTCGACGGCTGTTCGCCTACCTTCGGGAACGAACCCCATGTTGACTCAATCAACCGATCCGCCACTCGCGGTAGGAAAACGCGCGCAAGCAAGCAGGTGGAAGAGCGTTGGGCGGTCGGGTTGTGAGAACAGCAAGAACGTTCGTGCTAGTGGCTGTATGCACGGCGAGGTCGTTGTTAGTGTTTGCTACGTGTCTGTCAAATGAGTTACACTATTCCGCCATTATTATAACTTATATACAAGCAGTCAGTACCAGCAACGCCACTCCTGGGATTCTATGATATCCCTCCCCAGGTTGGGATAAAGGAGGTATGTTGGCGGGCATAATGCTGGCGTCAGATTGCCGTCATGCTGGCGTGAGCATTGCATGCCTCAAGGCAGAAGAACAAGCCGCGATTGGCGGAATGGCGACAGGTGAGCGAGTTTGCGCGCAGCAGCTAGTGCCGCGAAAGACACGAGAGTCCATCCGGGCCCTGGTGGGTAGGACCCGGATGGACCCCTGAAGTCGACGAGCGCGCGGAGTGTGTGAGCGGGAGAGAGCGGAGTGAGGGGGCCGCGCAATTGGGCTGAAGGCGCACGGCACGCAGGTGTATTGCGTGCTGTGCACGTTGCGATATACGCTGTAAAAGGAAAAGTATGTGTACCGAAATTGCAGTAACGAAAGAACGACTACAACATTCTGAAACCTAGCAGAATATAAATGCCTATTTCGTGGGAATATGTAAGGTGTGCTAGCAAAGTAGACACAATAGAATTCTTCGCCGTAGCTGCACGAGTGGCTCCAACCAAACCAGGTATGGCGAGGCATTTTTGTGCATACTTTTCCTGGGTTCCTCCAATGAAGTAAAGACGTGGTTTATGAAGGATAAGGGTACATTTGACTGAAACCTACATACAAGAACATAGAAACAACATCAATTTCCTAATAAAGTCGTAGTCTCTTCAAACTCTGTTCCCCCACCATCATCCAAGTCATAAGCAGGGTAGTCTAATCTCCAATGACACCTAACCAACCATTCTATGCACGCACCTACAGCCATCCCCACAGCAGAGAACCCTACAGCAAGCAGGTAGGGAGGATAATCGTATGCATCAAGAAACGTCCTGGCGAGAGACTCAACATAGGTCTCCCCTGGGCGCTGCTGTGCCTTGGCCCAGACAACCAGAGCGACAAGGCCAGAGGCACAGCCAGTTGCGGATGATGCAGGGGTGATGCAGACACGGGAGAGGGGGCCTTGTAGCACGCCGAGGAGCAGGGGCAGGAAGGACGTGGTGTTGATGAGGTTCACCAGGAGGAAGAGCTGTAGCACATTGAAGCCCTGTAGCGAGACGAGCAGCGGCGGTATATTGAGGATGAGCACGAGGGCTCGGATAGAGGAGATGCTGAGGGCAGACCCGTGGTGGGGAGGGGCTGAGTCCAGCGCAAAAGGGATGGGGTCAGGCTCAGAATCAGTGGCAGAGGGGGCAGGTGGCGCGTGCATGGTGGTAGATGCAGCAAGGAGACATGGGTCCATGTGTGGGGATGTGCCATTCCCTACACTCTCTGCCTCAGCATGAGTCGTGCACTTGACCTGTGTGAGCCTTGCCTCCTCGTGCCGCTGCACAGTCCCCTGCCGGCCCTCCTTGCCTCGCAGGCAGCTGCTGTCGTTGCAGCGCGCGGCGGGGTCGAGCAGGAGGGCAGCGACGGCGTCGACGGTGGCATTCTGCAGCGAGTCGACGGCGCACTCACTCATGGTCACGGCCAGCAGCGCCACCGCCACCAGCGCCCACGGGTGCCCGCGGAACAGCGAGAAGAGAATCGTATTGCCGCTGTCGTGGGGGCCTTCCGGCTCGTACAGTCCGCTCCACGCTGCTAGCAGACCTGCGGTTCGGGCAAGATGGTTGGGAGAGTATGGGGAGAAACAGAGAGGGGTACGCATGGATAGAACGTTTCACGACAGCCTGCAAGGTTTCAGAGACCAGTCATCAGTACAAGGTAGGAATATTGTGTGAGAGAGAGAGGTGTGGAAGAGGAAGAGAGGAGCAACAGCACATGGCAGCAAGAGCACAGTGGTAATAGTGTAGCAGCACATGGCAGCGCATGGCAGTGGTAAAATGATTCTCCAGCTGATTTTTATTCTACTCGAATTTGTATTCGACTTTCAGTCACTAGTACTTGGATATAAAACTCAAACTTGTACGCGTATTCGTATTTTCACCCTTAGCGCAAGGCAACGCATGGCAGCACATGGCGACAGGGCGGCAGCAAGGTGGCAGCAGCATGGCAGCAGGGCGCAGTGGTCTCACCAGCAAAGCCCAGCAGCCCCACAACGACCGTGATGGCGGCGGCTCCCAGCGCTGCCCCCCACAGCAGCGCCGCAGGGCTGGCTGACGCCCAGCAGCTGGCGGGACGGGGACAGAGACGTGCGCGAGGGGAGGATGCATGAGACAGGAGGGGGGAAGAGACATACGGTGGAGAGGGTTGAGCAAGTGACACGGCGTGGCACCTCGGTGTTCCCACATGCCACCATCATGTTCACTCCCGTCTGCTGCCAACAACTCTTCAGCTGTCACACTGCCACATGACTCTCACCACTGCCACATGGCTCTCACCACTGCCACATGGCTCTCACCGCTGCCACACGCCTCTCACCGCGTCTCACCGCGTCTCACCGCTGCCACATGGCCTCGTTGAAGAGTGTGGTGGCGAGCAGTGAGAGCGGCATGAAGAGCACCGCCTCCACCCCCCGCGGGTTCCCCCACCCCAATGAGGTGGCAGCGGCGAGGGGAAGTTGAGCAGCACGTGTGCTGTGAGCAGCGCCGTCACGATGAGACTCGCCAGGGCCTGCTGGGGGCGAGGGGGAGAGGGGGAAGAGGGGAGAGAGGTTTGGGAAAGAGGTATGGATGGATGGATGAAGGGGAAGGTGGTGAGGAGGCCGACAGGGGAGGCAGCGTTGATGGAGTGTGAATGAGCGGAGGAGCGGGGAGGGGGTGCGGTGGTGGGGAGGGCACGTTGGGTGAGCGGAGTTAGAAGCAGAACTGTGAGAGGCCTTCGGACATGTTCCAGTGAGCGGCAGTGTTTGGCATCCGGGCTTAAGCAAGTAGGAAAGACAGTGCAAGACTGACACTAGCTGTGAGGGGGCGGCAGAGCAGTGAGAGGGCGACCTGCCACTGGTCGGTGACAATGGAGACGTAGAGCCCCCCTGCAGCGGTGTAGAGCATGGCGGTGAGCGCGACGAGCAGCACGATGGGCAGGCGCGGTGCACGCAGCAGGTGGAGGAAGAGGTCGCCCAGCGCCGTGTACTCCGCTGCCATCGCCACGCTCATGTTGCCCACCGCTAACACCGATATGTAGACGACGAAGGGGCTGATGAGAGGGGAGGGAGGGGAATGGGGAAAGCAAGAGGTCGCCCAGGGCCGTGTACTGCGCTGCCATAGCCACGCCCATGTTGGCCACCGCTAACACCGATATGTAGACGGCGAATGGACTGCGCGGAGGGGTGGGGGTGAGAGGTTGACGGGAGGGGGGATGCGGAAGCGAAGGGCAGAGGGTTGAGGTGAAGGCAGTGGGTTGTGATGGCGATGGGCGTGGAGGGAAAGGGAGGGCGGTGTAGAACTGGTAACTTGCATTAATAAAACAACTTGCGGCCCTGTTCGCACCGTTCCCAACCGTGTACCGTTCGCAAACTCGTTCGCAAGGTTGCAACGGGGACACCGCACCGTTCGCAAGCTTCGCAGCGTTCGCCAACGTGCACTAATAAAACAACACCACTTGCATTAATAAAAAAACTTCCGGCCCTGTTCGCAACCATCCCACCGATGGTTGGCACAGGTAAGGTAAGCTACGTTTTGGCAGATATCAGCGCTACGCAGTACCAAATGCCGGTATTGCTTGCGAGAGGTAAGGTTCTAAAGGTTTAGTCAATAAAAGAGGAAGAAGGGGAGGTAAAGAAGGAGGGAGGGTGAAGGCAAGACTCAAGGTGTGTGTTGAGGCAGCAGCGCCACTCATCCGTGCCGGCACGCAGCCGTGACGTGACGTACGCCCCTCTGCCCTTCTGCCCTTGTGCCCATCTGCCCCTCTCTCTTTCATATAGCGTGTGCCCACGCCACACCATAACCCCGCCAAGGCATGATGATGCCCCACACCTCCCATCCGCTTGCTCCCACACATGCCCGTACTCTCGCCCCACCCTCTCGCCCACCTTCCCAACACCACGCACCAAGAAGCACACCCCCTCGCATGCAATCCTCCCGCAGCCCCCCATTCCCATACCCCTCCCCTTCTCCACTATTTGGAGGTACAGTGGCGCCTTGCGGCACTCACAGGCCGCTCCCACGCTTTTATCCCCTTCCCCAGCACCCTCTCCCCACTCCCCCTTGCCTTGCGGCACTCACAGGCCGAAGCGGCGGCGCACGTAGTGGGCCATGGAGACCACGTTCGGCACGCGGCGGTGCACCTCCGCGCCCACGCACGCGACGAGCAGCACGGGCAGCCCCGCGCACAGCGCGTACACCGCCGTGCCCGTCGCGCCCGCCGTCAGGCAGTAGCTGGGCGGCCCGAACAGCGCCCACGACCCCATCGCCGACGCGAAAAACGACCTGCGCGCGGTGGAGAGCGGTGGAGAGGGGTGGAGAGGGGTGGAGAGGGGTGTGGATTGAAGTGGACGGCAAGTGAGCGGAGCAAGAGCGTGCGGAACTCACGGGAGGGGCGGAGATGAAGGGCAGCGGATGGACGCGACGGGGCGATGCAGCGCGGAGGGAGCGGCGGGGGTGACGGGGGAGGAGGGGGGGCGGCGGATGGTGGGTGGTGCGATGTAGCGCAGGCGACGGTCGCGCGGGAGAGCGAGAAAAGAGGGCACGGCGACGAGCGCGCGGGAGGCGCGGGGCGAGGCGACGGCGGGCTGGACAGGGTGACACGGTTGGGGTGGCATCAGCTACTGCGGAACCGTGCGACCAGACGATCGTGCCGTGCGACCCCTGCGACGCACCATGCGACCATGGAGGTCTTGACGGATCGGCGCGCAGTGAGGAAGAAATCAGGCGAGTCGGGCCCCCCCTGCAGCTTCTCTCGATGCGCCGCATACGCGCACGCGCCCAGGCCAAACGCCAAGACCACCGCCACGGCAAGCGTGTACGCGATATAAGATAACGCCTCCATGGCTTGTAACGAAGGTTCCCTCAGCGAATCTAGCCTTGGTCATGCATCCCATGAGGACCTTTAAGCGGTTACCCTATTTTTGCGAGAGGCGAAAGTCATAGCACAAGTGCTGGCGACTAAAACTCTCAGGGCCTGGTACTGGGATAAGCAAAACCCGAATCCGAACAGGTTGGCCCCGACCCCCGAACGTAGATGGACATCTGTGAAACCCTGTTCGGTTCGGTTCCGTGAAACATGGCACATTGTAACGAACGTTCCAACATCAAACATGCTTTATAAAATAAAAAACTCAGCAAAAATGTTCTTTATTCTTATTTTTTTCCCTTTTTCCCTGCGCCTTGTGAGTAAGAGGGAGAGGCATACCAGTTTCCCAATAAAGCACCAAAACCCAACCCAGAATTATAGTGGTTTGAAACTGCAATTACCGAAAGTACTACAAAATGAGAGGAAAGAAATGATGACTGGAAACTGGAACGATGAAGAGCATAATATTGTACAAACGAATAAATGCTAGTAGGGCCCTTCATATGGTGTGAGCCCATCGTCATCGAAAGCGCCGTAGAGCCTGCATGATGCACATTCAATCATGACGCACATTCAATCGTGATGCAAATTCAATCATGATGCACATTCAATCGTGATGCAAATTCAATCATGATGCACATTCAATCATGATGCACATTCAATTGTGACGCACATTCAATTGTGATGCACATTCAATCATGACGCACATTCAATCGTTGTGCACATTCAATCGTGGCGCGCATTCAATCGTGATGCAAACAAGGAGAATAGAGGTTGTGGGGGAGAGAGGTGAGGTGTTAAAAACTAGCGATTGCATCATATTGGGACCACAATATGAAGGGAATTCGCACCACAGCCACAATATGAAGGACATTGATACGGCATCACGCGTGCATGAAGCTTACCCGATGTTCAGATCCGTTTGAGGCAGCCCCCTGTGCTGCTGTGGGCCACTTGCAGTCACAGGAAACGCACTGGGCACTGCTGGGAACACATTGTTCACTGCAGGGGGCCCAGCGCCCGCTGTGTGGACTGCAGGGGCGCTGGCAGCAGGCGGCAGAGAGAAGCTCCCCAGCTGCAACGCCCCGCCTTGTTGCACTCTGCCGTCCGCTGCAGCACCATACCTCGACTCCTCGTGCTGCCACGGTGCTTGTAGAGACTGCTCGCGCGGCCCTCCAATCCCACCAACCACCTCACCACCCCTTCCACTGCCGCCCTTGCCACCAAGCTGCTGAGCAGACGGCCGACCACATGCGCGCTCCTCTCTCCCCTCCCCCGCTTGCATCACCACCTCTTGCTGCTTCTCTTGCAAGCCTGTTAACCAATCCCGTTGCTTCAAAGGCTTCGGCACGTTGTTTTGCTGCTGCTGCTGCTGCTGCTGCTGCTGCTGCTGCTGCTGCTGCTGCTGCTGATCCTGATGCCGCTGCTGTGGCTGAGTCTGCTGCTGCAGCTGCGCTGCATGTGGTGCAGCAGGAGCAGCCGCTGCTGGAGCTGCCAAGGCCCACACCCCTCCGCCCTCTCCGCCTGCTCTCCCCGCACCTCTCGCTCGGGCCCAGCACAAGCAGGCACAGGTTCGGGTGGCGTGGCTTGCAAAATGCCGGCACCAGCAGGCTTGGAAGCGCCAGTGGTGCTGCGTGCGTGCTGCAGCGCGTGCATTGGTGCATCAGCAGCAGCGGCATCACGCGCGGCACCCTGGGAGCCCACCCGCGAGTGAGCAGGTGCGCTGGTGGTCCAACCCATGTCCACGGGCTGGCCTCTGTCCCGTGCATGCGCCCTGTCTTGCACACCCTCCTCACGCTGCTGCTCTGCAGCCTCATGCTGCCCATTCTCCTGCCCCTGCCGACCGCCCTCCACATCTATCCAGAACCTTCTCAGCAGCTTCGTTTTCTCCTGCCCCAGCTGTTCATGTGCGCCGCGCTTCCCTCGCAACAAGGCGCCAACAATCGACACCCCATTGGGTGGAACCCCAACCGTGGGCGCTCTGCCTCTCAACAACCCCGCAGGCAAGACCTCACACGCACCCTCCCTAGCTGCTCTCTCCCCTGCTGCTGCACATGCTGCGACGTCAGTGTGAGCGGCACCAGCAGCTGCTGCTGCACGTGCTGCGGCAGCGCCTCTCAGTGCGCCCTCTGCCTCATCATCTCCGCCCATGCGCACGTGGGCTGCTGTGGCGGGCAGTGCGTGTGCAGCAGGGGGAAGAAGAGGCGCGGCATGGAGCGTGTCGTGCGCCTCTGCTGCCTCCTCCAGCGCCTCCTGCTTCACCATCGCCCTCGCTGCCTCCGCCAGCGCTGCCACTCCACTCGCAGCAGCAGCCGCCGCAGCCGCCGCAGCAGCAGTCGCAGCAGCGCCTTCACTGGTAGCATAAACGGCAGATAGTGGTGCAGAGCGGTGAGGTGACGTGGCGCGTGGCAATTGTGGTGGTGGCCCGCGTGAACGCGCGCTGCCATGCCCCACCGGCACACATGCTGACCGCGCGCTGCCCCGTGCATGCGAGGTGCCGTGCACGTGGGGGTGCGGGTGGGATGGGTGGCGCCATGAATGGGCATGGGCGGACACGGCATGGGTGTGGCGGGAGGATGCGACCAATGGGAGGCCATGGTGAATGGCGTCGTCGTCATCGTCAGCATCGGAGTCACTATCTTGCAATTCATCCGCCCCTTCATCCACCCCCCCTTCCATCCCTTCATCCACCCCCATGGCTGTGCACGGCAATGCTGCAGCCCCAGGGGCAGCAGCATCAGGGTAACTGCAATCATCACCATCCCTATCCTCCACACCATCCCCCCGCTCATCCCCCCGCTCATCCCCCCGCTCATCCCCCCGCTCATCCCCCCGCTCATCCCCCCGCTCATCCCCCCGCTCATCCCCCCGCTCATCCCCCTCACCATCCCCCTCCCCACACCCCGCCCAGTCCCCATCCCCACTGCCCTGCCCATCCGCCTCCCCACGGTGTCCCTCCTTGTCGGCCCCCAAACACTCCCCTCCGTCCTCCTCCCCCGCTCTGCCTCCTCTCTCGCCCTCATCCCCTGCACTCGCCGGCCCCACACCTGTACCCCCCATCCGCTCACCGCCTGCATCCGCCCCTGGTCGCGCCTGAGCCTTGCTTTGATCGTCCAGCTGCGCATGGTTCAACACAGGGCGCGGGACAAGGCACAGGGATTAGAGAGGCAGAGGCATAGACGATGCAGCAAGACACACAAGCAGGGACGGGGGCGGGCAGCCAAGCAAGCGAATTGGCAAGAAAAGAGGCATGCAAGCGGACAATGAGGCAGCAGGCAGAGGAACACAACACACCCGCGATTTGAGATCCGAGATGGTTCGGTGGAACAGCTCCTCCTGTCACACACGCGCGCATAGTGGGCCATAGGGGAGAGACACGCGGTGTGGAATGAGCATGAGCATGAGCAGTGGCATCTGATCTGAGTGGCAGCGGCATGGGTGGTGGGCAAGGCAGCAGTCACCTGGTTGCCACGTCACCATGGCCAACGGGTACTGGCATGGCAGCACATCATGATCATTTGCAAGCCTCACGATGGTCACATCACGATGGTGAGGGGTGGCACAGCCTGACGCGAGGGGTGGCACAGCCTGACGCGAGGGCGTGCATGCTTGAGGTGCTGCCATGGCAAGTCGAGGCAGCACAAGGCATGTGCGCCCCCCTCACCTTCACTGGCCTCGCTCTCCTCTCCTCACGCGCCCATGCTTCACGATGACTTGCCCCTGCAAGTGAGTGCATCGCCACACATGGCACACACATGGTTCACTGAACCGCTGCCTAGTAAAACGTCCGTGCTGCAGCAGTGGAGTGGAGCCCACAGCCTCCTTGAGCCAACCAGCCTCTGCTCTACTCCCTCACATTGCTCTCCCTCCCACCCTCCCGTTCCCACCTTTTTCTCCCGCAGTCGAGAGAGGCTGTCTTCTAGCTGCTTCTCCAGTCTCCTCATCTCGTCCAATCCCAGCCCTCCGAACGACTCCGCTGACGTGTCCAGGCAAACAAGTGCCTTTGAGTGTTGATCTCGCACCCTGCAAGGACGGGCGCGGGCCAAGGTGCAGGCAGCTAAGGACGGCTGTGAGACCTGCTTGCTAAGAGACAGGAGTGGAGGGAGGGGCGCGGCTGAATAACTAGTAAGAACTGATACGAAATGAGAGCCCACGGTTCCCCTGTATGATGTGTTACACAACACAAAAAGCGCGGCAGAATACGATATAGGATGATGCGTTATGGAGAGGAAGGCAGCGCACCTTGAAACCTCCAAGTCGCGCGGTTCATTGTGTTGCTCTGCCGCCTCCTTGCGTGCCTGCGCGCACAGAGAATGCCACGGGCGGGGGAAGGGAATGACAGAGGACGGAGGGGAACGGCGGGGGAGAGAGCGGAGGAGGTGAGCGGGAAGGAACAAGGGCGGGGAGAGAGAGGGGGGGAGTGAAAAGAAGGGGCGCGAAGGCGAGGCTGAAAGGGAGGTGAGGGAGGGCAGAGAAGGATGGGAGAGAAATGGAGCACGGAGAAAAGGAAAGGGGGTGGGCACGGATGAGATGGAAGGCCAAGAAAAAAACGACAAGGGAGGAGAGACGGAACCCGAGGAGTAGGCAGTAGAAGAGACGCGTGTGAAAGTCAAAGAACAAGAGGGGGGTGATGGGAGGCGAGGGAGGGACGGGCGGGGTGGGAGGAAGGCAGGGAGTGAGGGTTGGGCTAGCGGGGGGGCATGGCGGGGGCGGGCGGCGGGGGGCATACCAGCAGTGCTTGAGGCGCGGCCGTCGCCTTGCCTTCCACCTGCTGCACCTGCACCTGCAGCTTCTTCGCTTGCTGCTCGCCCGGCTGCTCTTTGCACTGCCGCTGCTGCTGCTGCAGGCCATGCTGCAGGGATTGCGGCGTGGCGAGGCCTGTGGTGGGAGGGGGGTTCTGCTGCTGCCATGGCGGCCGGTGGTCCTTGCCGCTCTCCAGCGCCAGCCGCCGGTACCGCTCCACTATGGCGTCCATGCTGGGGGGGGGAGAGGGGGAGAGGAAGGGGGAAAGGGAAGGCGGAAGAGGGAAGGCAAGAGGGGGTGTGCTTTGTGCTCGCCCACCTTGTGGGGCCGGTGGTCCTTGCCGCTCTCCAGCGCCAGCCGCCGGTACCGCTCCACTATGGCGTCCATGCTGGGGGGGGGGGAGGGGAGGTGGTAGGAGGAGGAACAGATGAGCGAAAACGCGGGCGGGGAGGCCAATGGGCGGGGAGGTTTGTGCGAAGCAGGGTGACGCATGGAGGGCCGCGCGGCGGTATGGTTGCTCCCTGACGCGACGCCCATGCCGACGGTACATATGCTGACGTGATACTGACTTGGTGCTGACGTCATACTGACTCGGCGCTGACGTGGTATTGACTTGGTTCTGGCGTGATACTGACTCCTGACTCGGCGCTGATGTGGTAATGACTTGGTGCTGACGCCATACTGACTGGGCGCTGACGTGGCACTGACTTGGTGCTGGCGTATTGGAAGAGCTTGCCGGTGGCGGAGAAGATGATGACGCCGATCTCCACGTCGCACAGCACCGCCAGCTCGTACGCCTGCCATAAAGCACGGGGTGGGCGCACGGGGGGAGGGGGAGGAAGGGGGGGCACGGGGGTGGGCGCAAGGGGTGGGCGCAAGGGGTGGGCGCAAGGGGATGGGCGCAGAGGATAGGTGCAGTGGGCGCATGGATAGTGCGCATGGGATGGGCGCAAAGGGATAGGCGCAGCGGATGGGCACAAAGGGATAGGCGCAGCAGCGGACGGGCGCAGAGATGAGCGCAGGGGATGCGCGCGAGGGCTGCGCGTAAGGGGTGGGCGCAGCGGTCCGACGCAGGGGATGGGCGCAGGGGATGAGCGCTGCGCGCAGAGGGTACGCGCAGGGACTTTCCCCCCTTTCCTCTCCTCTTCCCTCTAGCCCCTTTCTCTCCGCCCCCCGCCACTGCCCCCCCATCCCGCACCTTCTTCAGCAGCCCATTCCGTCGCTTCGAGAAGGTCACTTGGCGCGTGGTCGCGTTGTCAATCTTGCGAATCTCGATCTTCCCGCGCCCCATTCTCCGCCGCGCCTTCAACTTGCCCCTCCACAATACAGTCACTCAGCCAACCTCCTGAATATCTCTCGTCCTAGCACCGCATCCCGCAAAACACGAGCCTGTGCGATTGCGACGCGCGCCTGGTCCCTGCGACGCTCGGACGATCCTTCTGGTGCCGCTTGCCGGACCTGCGACTCCCTCGGTCCTACGACGCCTTTTCAGGTGTCGGCGATGCTCAGCGGGGGTTCTGTGGCACGCGGATTCTTTGTTCCGCAATAATGGGCGGACCGCTGCGGCGTGAGGCGCGGTCCCTGCTGTGCACGGCCGGCGGCGGATGGTTCCAACGCTTTTCAGGAGTTAACGACGCTCGCCGGGGTTCCCGTCGCAACGCGGCGACTTCGCTCCGCGATGATTGGCGGATCCCTGCGGCGCTACGCGCGTTTGCTGCTGCGCATGGCCAGTGACATCTACAAGCTTGCACCCCCTCTGAAAAGCTCCTCGGCTATCGAGTTCTTAGCCCTTCTAGGGTTCCGCTCCCACCAATGCCCGCTAGGTTATGCCGTAAGAGTGCAGATAGGGTGCGCACTACAATGGCTGTGCAATGCTCCTGAGCCTAAATGCCGCTGCTTCCTAGCGGTGCGGTGTGCCGAGAGGAGTCGGCAAGGTCTGATCAGATTCCAAAATTAGGGTTCGCACCTAGCAGCGTCGCGCATGGAGCGGCGTGGGTGGGATTGGGAGTCGAACAGCTACGTCGCGACAGGTCTTACTGCTACACACGACTTGCCTGCCCCGTTCTGGGTCACACGCGATGTTCCCTTTCTCCGTGCTTACAATCTCAATTGGGAAACTAATAATCCCAACTGGAAACCTATTAATCACACTGGAACCTAAGGTAATCAGGTCCAAGGTTCTCGTTACTGTTCCCTCGTCCTAAACAGTGGCCAAGAAGAAGTCGCCGAATCGCGGAACGAGTCTGCTGCAGGTTCTCGGTCCGGGTGTACTGTAGGGCGCCTACGGTTCGATGGCGCCTACGGTTCGATGGCGCCTACGGTTCGATGGTGCCACTGTATATGCCCTTGATCACCAAGCCCGTGCCTCCTTATTCACAGACGACGTCACGTCCCACCCGCTTCAGACCCGCTGCGACCGTGCGCTCTTACGTCCCCTCTTGAGCATATGGGAAAGGGCACTACTTTTAGATTGAAAATAAGCGCTGCATCTTGGTTGATATGTACACCTCACTAACTTGGAATGTACAGCTCGTTTGTCCCTTATGCAACTCAGCAAGGGCAACGACACCCAGCTTCCCAGTCCCGTTTGTTTGTCGCAGCGAGCAACAAAATTTAAATATAGCTTTGAATAGCACTCGGATGAAATTTGACTACAGTCGAGAATCCAGTGTGGTACGATTGTGTAGCAAGTGGCGGCTTTTACACAGCGCGTTACAGTAACACCCATTGTTTTCGTGGTCTACAAAGGACGGAGGTGTGTGCGGCGGGCAAGCGCAATCCCCCGTGGTTCGTTCCCTCCCTCCGCCTGCGAACGATTCTGTCTCATCACGGCCGGCGAAGCTCACAGCAATAGTTCGCGATTCGCGAAGCCCCTTCAATGTATTCGGTCCAACAGAAGTCCCGTTACACACCTGCCAGTATTGCCCTGGTACTGTTCCAAAGCAGTTGTGTCCCGCCTTTAAAGCACTGCAGCAACCGCTCACGAAGCTTCTGACGGGCCCCTTACCACCCTCCCTACGTCAGCGTCCCCCCCTAGCCCCAACTCCTCCTCCCCCCAACGCCATCCCAAACCAAACCCCGCCCTGCACTAGCCCCCAAGCCCCCTTCCTCCCAACACTCCCCCCTTTCCGTCAGCTCCGCCCCCGCCTTACACTACTGTACATCAGACATCACAAACAAGGTGCGGCGCTGTCCATCTGCACCTCCTTCCACTCGTCCATTTCTGGAAGGTGCATGCTATTGCTGCCTGGGCAACACACGGGAAGGAACCAAATCGAATCGACCGAACCAGAGAGAATGACTCCAGTGGCCAATAAGGTGATTCACCATCCCTCGCGTGGCCACGAATGACTCGAGTGGCCACCAAATTTGGTGATAATGACTCGAGTGGCCACGCCAGGGGATTCTTGCTGGCTTTTTTTCTTTAGCGCATTACCCTACGGGGCTTTGTAGCCACGAAATTCCCCATTCGTGCGAGTGGTATCCTTAGGTAGTGTTCCGTTCTGTTCCGCACCCGAAAATTTCGCCCACACACTGTACACAAAACCGTAAAAAATGCACGACCAACAGTAGTTGCACGGTCATTTTCGGCCCAATGCCCGACCAATGAGCGCGCGGTAAAAATATCAGCGATCATAAACTGCTCTGCGGGGGCATAAATGCGCGAACACATTAGTGACCGCGGGCAAAAAAAAACCAAAACCCACTCGGAAGGCATGCCATCCGAGGGAGCCTCAACCCTAAATTTTTTGGGTTGAGGCTCCCGAATGGCATGCCGTAAGCCATGGGGTTTATTTTTTTTATCACCTTAGGGTAATGCGCTGTGAAAAAAAAGCCAGCAAGAATCCCCTGGCGTGGCCACTCGAGTCATTATCACCAAATTTGGTGGCCACTCGAGTCATTCGTGGCCACGCGAGGGATGGTGAATCACCGTTTTGGCCACTAGAGTCATTCTCTCACCGAACCAAATGGCCCAAAATAGACATGGTACACTTGGGGTGGAAGTTGGTCGAGCAAACACTTTCGCGCCAAGCCCAGTGTGCCAGCTGATGGAAGGGGGAGGTTGGTTGGGTGGATGTTCATGTACGACAAACGGATTCGATTCGTTCCGTATGGACTTGCCAACCTGACGTGAGGACAGAAAATGCCAGGGCACGTCACACCTCATTCGGGGGAGGTTCGGAGGTTCTTCCCATCGAACCTGCCATGTTCGGTCGCCACACCGGCGTGACACACCTGCGAATCTGCGATAGCGCAGACAACAAGCCACAGGTGTATGGGATTTTTTCCATTGGTCAGGGCTAGTTACAGGGTGCACTGATGATCCGGCAAAAGGTCTCGCCGCACTATTTTCACATTTGTTTTTCTATTCCATCGCCATGCAATACAACATGGCAACTCAAACAGCAACTCACAATGAATCCGCCATGGATGTTGTCTCACAGCTTTAGAAGCCTCGCTTGTGAAGGACACGTGTCAGTTGGTAACATTAGTTGCAGTTTCGGACTCGCCTCACTGTTACGAAGCCAACGGTACACTTTATGTGTCCATCAGGCGGACATTGTACCAGGTGCTCAGGGAGGTTCCGATCTTGACAATGCTACTAACACCAAGGTTCATCAGCAGGCTCTTAGGTTCTCTACAAAGTCGACAACTAAGCATGACAAATGTCAATGGTTCAGCCAGTCCGGGATTATACAGCATTACAACCACTCCTTATCATTGGTCAAGAGGCTTCAGCCTGATCTGGTTGCTAAACAAGCATCAAGGTTACGGTATCCCGTTTCTGGGGTTACAAGTTCAGGAAACGCAAGCTTAAAAGAGTGGCTACTATTGTGCTCACACATCGGCTTTCACCTCACAGAAGTTTCCAGTTTACGCCAAGTCATCATCGCACTATGTCCAGGATGATCACTCGTAATGGTGGTGTTCGTCCCGCTGACGGGTCGTCTGCAGTGACCCAGGACAAGGCTAAGGAGTCAACGCTGGTGGCTGATGCTTCTGCTGCGTCGTCGGTCAAGCGTACAACGGATCTGTTCACGGAAGCGGACAAGGAGGCTCTTCAGCCTGGCGGAACGGCTCAAGGCATTAAAGACGCAGCGCGTCACTTACTTGCGACGGCGACTTCCGATCGTGCTGTCCTACCTCAGAAGGAAGGTTCAGTTGCGTCAAAACCTGCAACTGGAGCGGGGGAGGCTGGTCAGCACCAGGACAAGGCAGAGGGGGTTACTGCTGTGGCTACGGCTGACAAGGATGATGAGGATGACGGTTACCTCAGTGATGATCCTGAGGAGCGTTATGAGGCTGCAGCGAAGGGCGAGGTGGCGCAGCGTGTCCGCTTTGCCATCACTCTGCTGGTTCCCGTTGAGTTCAAGATGGAGGTGACGCGGGTGCAAGCGACTCTGCGTGCGCTTTTCGGAATCTGGAAGAAGGACTTGGGGGTTGACGTGCAGACAACTACCAAGTTTCAAGAGTTGGGTACTCAGTACCTGAACAAGAAGCAGTACTGTCGTCTTCAGGTGTCGTTTGATCGGGCGCGTGACGCAAACTTCGTCTGGCGTCATGGGATTGTCCACATCTGCATGGATGGGAAGTCAAGGATTAACCTGGATTGGCAGCACCCGGTGGATCCAGCTTATGTCAAGGCGCGTGCGGCTGATCTTGCGCTGGTGGAGGTCCTGTTCAAGGGGGTGGATGCGGTCATCACGCCTGATATGCTTCGCGAGATGCTGGTGGTGGTGAAGCTGGTCGTGCGTGGGAGGTCGGCTTTTAAGGAAGGCTGCTGCTTCCATCACGTCGTCAATCCTGTTACGCGGATGGATACGGACAAAGTGAAAGGCCTGGTGAAGCCGCATGCGGGGGATAAGTACCGTTGGCGTCATCTTGTGGAAGACCCTGTGAACAGTGACAAGCAGCTACTGGTGCACTATCCGTCACAGATCTGCTCCTCCTGCAGTGGCTTTCATATGACAAGGTATCATGATGCGTATGTGGTGGAGCGTCAGAACAACATCAGCAAGTGGAGCCTGTCTTTGGGACGGGTGCATGGGATCAATGGTAATATACTGTGGTCATCCAGCAAGTGTTTCTGCTTACCCTTTTTGTCGTCTTGCCGAGCTAATGAGCTGGGTGTGTCGGATCCGCGCAGCCGCCTCAGTCAGACTCACAGATCTGACCAGGCTTATTCTGAAGGACCCGTCGCTGGTGTTGATCTCGACCGGGGGGAACCGCGAGGAGTGGATCTGCTTGCAGGAGTGCTGCGACAAGGCGTGTGGGGTCACTTTTGCGCAGGAGCAGAACATGTTGTTTCGCAGCACCACAGCGATGGCACGGTGTCGGGCGCAGCTCCAAGGCTGGTGTCGCTTTTCCGGCCGCGCGGAAGGAGTTTGGCGTGTGAGGCCGCTTCTTTCACCTGTGGGACTCAGAGGAGGGTGTCTGGGGGTGGTAGCGCATCTTGCGGCAGAGAAGGAACATGTGTTGGCTGTTAACCATGCTGGAGTCTCAGTTTGTTGTATGTCAGGCGACGTAGTGGAGTCTCTTTTTGTTGTCTCAAAGCCCTGTGGATGCAAGGGGGCCTCAAGGAAGTTGAACAATGAGTAACGCCAACCGACTCACCATCGTGTCCCTGAACATCAACGGTTTGGGGAGTTTAGGGAAGCAACAGGCGGTTAAACGGTGGATCAAGTCAACGGCAGACATTGTAGTGTTAGCAGACACAAGGATACCAGCGGATCATAATTTCTGGGCGGAGTTGAGGCCGTGCTGCATGGCCACGGTGGCAGCCCCAACCAGAGCAGGTGGTTTGGCCATCCTGTGCTTTAAGGAAGGGGTGCAGCTTGAAGATGTGAAACCACATCAGTCTGGCAGGTTGCTGCATGTCAGGGTGAGGTGGGGGACGAGACTGGTACGGCTGGTTGCGCTGTACTTCCCAGGACAGGCGCCGCCAAGGGGAGTCTTCCTGGGCTCTGCCTTCAAGGAGGTTGCAGCCAGCTTGCCTAGGGGGGAGGACCTGTTGGTGGCAGGGGATTTCAACATGATTGAGGACCCGAGCCTGGATAAGTCGAATCGGCAGGGTGTGACAGGGGACAACAACAGAATGAAGCAGATGCTATCTGACTTCCATGTCAAGGATGTTTTTCGGGAGTTCTATCCGGATGAGAGGCAATTTACCTTCTACTGCAGATCGGCGAAGGTCAGCTCGAGGATTGACAGGGTGCTGGCGTCGCAATCGCTGATGCATTTGGTGGCCCGGGTGTCTCACCAGTGGTTGCCGATGGGGTTGACAGACCACAAATACGCTGTCCGGGTGAGGCTTGTGTGGAAGGGGCCGTAGGAGTCGGGTCCTGGTGTGTGGAGGTTTTCGGCGAGGCTTGCCAAGAAGCCGGGGGTGAAGGCGGCGATAGACGATGTGGTCCGGAAGCAGGGAGAAGGGGGCTGCACGGACTTTGACAAGCTGTCAAGGTGTTTAAACGCTCGCCTGCGGAAATATGACAAGGAAGAGAGAAAGAGGGTCAGGCAGACGCGGAGAGCCTTAGAGTCGCAAGTAGATACGTTGCAGCGCAGGGTCATGGCGGACCCGGGGGATGATGCGTCGCAGGCTCTACTGACCACCCGGGAGGCGATGCTGAAGAGGTACTGGGACGGCCGGAGGAATCTGCTGCAGACACGAACGGGGTGAAAGGTGCAACTTGACGGTGAGGCGCCGACTGCCCTGCTCTCTGCTCTGGCGAAGAGTAGGAAGGCAAAGACGGGTATTAAGGAGCTGGTACGAGATGGGGTTAGCTACTCCGATGCGAAGGCCGTGCTCGGTAAAGCCACAAGGCATTTCAAGATGGCGTTTGATGTTGGCTCTGTAGGCGGTGATGAGGCGCGGTTGCTGCGGTGGACGCCGCGGAGAGTGCTGGAGGATGCATCGGCAGAAGAGCTGACTCGGGACTGGACAGAGAAGGAGGTCAGACAGGCGATAAGGGAGCTGGCGAACGACAAGTCCCCTAGGAAGGACGGGTTACCTAAGGAGCTGTATCAGGTTCACTGGGAGTCGTTGAAGGGCCCAGTGATGAAGATGGTCACGGGTTTGATGGAGACGGGGGACTTACCGGAGGTGGTGAACGAGGCGGTTACGGTCCTGCTGTACAAAAAGGGAGATGAAACGGACGTCAGGAATTACAGGCCGATAACTCTTCTGACAAGCACGTATAAGATATTGGCGAAGGTGGTGGCTTCAAGGATGAAAAAAGTTCTTAACCAAGTGATTTCCGGGGAACAGTACGGGTTCCTGCCACGGAAGAGACTTACGGATGCGGTGTCGTTGGTAGCGGATTTAATCGACGCGACCAAGAACAAGAACAGGGACTGGTACCTCCTGCTGATCGACTTTGAGAAGGCGTATGATTCGGTGCGTCGGGATTTCATGCTGGAGACGATTGCGAAGATGGGTCTTCCACCGCGGTTTGTTGGCTGGATCGAGGCACTACACAAAGATGTGCACACAAGACTGTGTGTCAACGGTTGGTTGGGTGAGAAGATACAAATGCGTAAGGGGGTGAGGCAGGGGTGCCCGCTGGCTCCTTACCTGTTCTTGTGCGCGGTGGAGCCACTAAGCCGCTTGGTGGAGGAACGGAGGCTGGGAATAGGGGAGGAAGGCTGTGAGCGGCTGGCGTACATCGGGTATGCAGATGATACAACGTTGCTGCTGGACGGCGAGCATCAGCTGAAGGAAGTGGAGCAGGTGCTGAAGGAGTTTGCAGAGGCGTCAGGCCTGAAAGTGAATAAGGGGAAGTCGTCGCTCCTGCCACTGGGGTGCAACGTGGATAAATGCGCGCCAGATGGAACGGAGTTCAAGTGGGTGAAAAAAGACGAAGCGGAAAGGCTGTTGGGGGTTTGGATAACGCCAGGAGGGAATGGGGAGATCACGTGGGAGAAGGCATTTGACAAGGCAGCGGGAGAGTTAAGAAAGTGGCATAGCAAGTATCTCACGACGGGTGCGCGGGTGACGATTATCAACAGCTATGTGCTGCCGGTGTTCATCTTCCAGGCCCAGGTGTACCCGCCGGAAGACCTGCTGTGGAAGAGAGTGGAAACACTGATTGAGAATTTTGTGTCAGGAAATCACGCGGACACGGGGAGGCATTTCAGGTTATGGAGTGGGGATCTGATTTACGCACCAAGGGAGTAGGGCGGGCTAGGAGTGGTCGACCCGGGGGGGAGAGTAGACAATGTCGCTCCGCGGTGTGTGGGCTTGGCGTTGCTCCAGGAGTGTCCGCTCAGAAGACGGAAGCTGCTGCTGACCTGCCACTGGGGTGGGCTACACTGTATGCGCACAAGGCGGTGTTAAGGGGGGGCTTATTTCGGAGTAGGAGATGGGCAAAGCTCTGTAAGACAGTGCTTAAATCGACGGTTGTGACAGTACCTGGCGCAGCCTCACGATGGGATGTGGCGGGGGAGTATCTGTGTTTCAACAGCAATATTCCGCACCGTGGGAAGGCCCCGTTCGGAGGGCAGAAGGGGACGGAGCTGATACGGAAGTGGCGGATGCAGGACATGATTGTGCAAAAGTGGGATGGCACGGTTCGCGTAAAAACATAGGATGAGTTAGCCCGGGAGTTGGGCGACAAGAAGAGTGCGGAGATGGCGCTCAAGGCTTTTCATGCGGCCCCGGCGTAGTGGAGGGAGTGGTTGCTGGCCCCGTTATTGGCGGAGGAGGTTAAGGGAGTCTCGCCGGTGGTAAGCACCACGCTACCGAGTCAGAAAAGGTGCCTCTGGGAGGTGTGCGGGACCAACGGCAGGAAGGTCGGGCTGCTAGCCCTGAGCAGCAGTGGAGAGCGAACTGCGTGGAACATCAGGGTGGAATTGCGCTGTGAAAGCGTAACCCCAGTAAGGCTCTACCAGGGGAGTGTGTTGGGGGATGCAGGGGACCCAAGGGTGAGGATGCTAATGTCAGGCTTGTTCGATGGGAAGGAGGTGGTTCCGCTGAAGAAGCTCAGGGAGCCGAGCAAAGGGGCGGAAGCTGTGGCGGAAAAGCGTGCAAAGTGGGAATCGCGGGCGGGAAGGAGCATTGATTGGGAACGGGGGCGGAGGGTAAGGGACTCCCTCGCTATCTCGGTAAGGGCAAGGGATGTCCTGCTAAGGGTGCAGAACCTCAACCTCCAGGTGGGGGAGAGGGTCTATTTCTTGGGCGGCGGGGTGACGTGTCCGCACTGTGGCGGAACAGAGACGTTGGAGCATTGCCTGTTGGAATGCCCCCACATCCTGCCGGTGGTGGCTGCGGTCAAGTCGGCGTTATGCATGATGCAGCCGGGGAGGCACGTGGATGATCTGGCAGGCCTGTTGTTCGGGGCGGAGGAGACGAAGTCGGGTTTTCCAGAAGCGACTATGGTGGCGATAGCGGTGCACCAGATCTGGCTGGGGCGGTGTGATGTGTCGCTAAAAAATGTCAAGAAGCTCCAGGCTCGGAAGGTGCTCCGGAGGATAAACGTGGAGTTCAACAAGCACGCGCGGGTTTACTGTAGTAGGCCGAGTAAGCAGGCTCGGAAGGATAAGGCGCGCTGGAATCTGGCGAATGACGAAGCATGCGCGATGCCGAGAATTTGTGACAGCATGGCAGTGGGTCTGAGGTGGCACGGGGACTTCCAGTCGATCTGGTCGAACCCGAGAACTTTCGTGAAACCGCCATAGATTCGCAGGGAGGGCCGGGTACACCACCTGGTTTGAGCCCGCAGAATCAGTTACGACTGAAGTGTTTTGCTTGTGCACCTGTTGTGTAAGCTTTCACTAAAAAAAAAAAAAAAAAAAAAAAAAAAAAAAAAAAAAAAAAAAAAAAAAAAAAAAAAAAAAAAAAAAACATTTGTTTTTCTGTGAGTCCATCCTATGCCTATGAATAACACGCAATGAGTTACGAATTGTAAAATGAGAAGTGTTACTGTGCATTCCTGCCAGTCAGGGCCCAAAATATCAGGGTAAAATGCCCTGATTACCCTGGGGGCCGGCCGTTTTTTCAGAGTTACCCTTTCAAAATCAGGCTTCCAAGATTTTTTCCCTTACGCAAAAAGAGTATATTTTTTTTTTACACTGATAGCGATTTTGGCTACCCTGGCTGTATCAGTGTGCGCTGTACATTATACTGATACAGAATCCTCTGTAGCGAGGATTTTCGTTGCGAAATGGCAAAACCGATCCAATCGCCCACAGGATTTAAACCCGCAACCTTGAGATCTGAATCTGCACATATAACCAACTTAGACACACACCAATAGTCTCGTATTGATTGTAGCACATTGTGCCTATTGCTACACTAGACTGGCAAAACACCCCCTTAATCGGGCCACACCACTGCCAGCTGAGTAGAGTTGCGCTTCAAGGACAGCTTCGTGCTACTTTATTGTTACTGTAGAAATTACTAGTAGTGAAAACAGACTAGATATAGAATTACCCTGCCGAAATCAGTGTAATGGTAGATTTACCCTGCTGCCAACAGGGTACGGAAAATTTTACCCTAGGGGTCTGTTCAAGGAGGGGCTGTTACCCTGATTTGTAAGGGTAGGCCAAAACCAATTTTGGGCCCTGCTGCCAGTAGCAAGGACGAACACCGAAGAGACTACGAAGGCGAAGGGTAAAAAACCCGAACGGTTGCGGAGCATGTGGACCGTCAGAGGAGACAACATCGGGCAGCTTCAGGAGCAAAGACAAACAAGCCAAAAAACAAGCCCCTAGGGGTTTCTATCTGCGTAATCATTAAGGTTAGGACAACACCGTGCCAAAACACTGTTTTGTGTCAAAGTGATGCACGCTGACTGGAAAGGCTATTCAAAACCTTAGCCGGGGCCCTGGTGTGCATGCATGCATGCCTGCCCTGCATGCATGTGGCTGTGCACAATGTAATGAACTAGGGCTATACAAAACCCTCACTCTTGTTCTCCCCACTCACCCCCAGCCCCCTACTACCCTTCCTTCTTCTCCCCCTCTTTCGCCTCCTCTGCACCTCCTTCCCCCCTCTCTGCCTTCCCCACTCCCTCCTCCCCTTCACCGTCCCCACCACCGCCCAGCAGCCCCTTGGCCTCAGCCCTGGCGAGCACAAAGTCGGGGTAGTTGCGGTCGTTGAGGTTGGAGAGCCACGTGGCAAACACGTGGGTCTTGCGCTCCGTGCTCACGATGTGCGGGTACACCACGTCCTCCTTGAACCGCTCCGCCGCCTCCCTGAACGGCTCCAGTGTGACCAGCGGGTGCGAGGCGGCCCACTTGTTGTTGTAGGCGGGGAACATGCACTCCACCAGGAACAGACCGAGCTCTGGTGCCAAGGGCACGTTGTACCGCTTGTCCCTGGGAGAAAGGAGCGAGTGGTAAAGGGTAGAGTGGGAGGGGAGGAGAGACACGGGGCTGTAAAAAAATGGGCTGTGGGCACCGGGCTGTTGCACACCCCCACATCCCAGCATACCCTCTGCTGCACACCCCCCCATCCCAGCCCATAAGAGAGCACAAGCATGAGCAGCACACATAGAGCCTCTCACCTCCGAAACGCGTCAGTGAGCATCTCCTCGGGCGCATGCCCCCTCATTACGGCCAGCACCATGCCGACCATCTTGCGGATCTGGTGCAGCATGAAGCTCTGCCCCACCACCACGCACTTGACGCACTCCATGCCCTCAATACTCGTCACGCCCTCAGCGGCGAACGACACGATGTAGCGCTTGGCCGCCGCGTCCTTGGCGCTGACCTTGACGGTGTAGTTGTGGAAGCAGTGCGTGCCCACGAACAGCCCCAGCAGGTGGTTCAGACGCGCCAGAGCCGCCGAGTCGAACGTGTAGGGCGGCGGGGTGAACACGGCGGGGAGGGGGGCGGGGAGTGTGGCGGGCTTGGGCTTGTCCTCTGCGTCCGCTGCTGCTTTTCCCTCTGCTTTGTTTGCTTGTTTGGATTCTGTTTCTTCTGTGTCTGCCGCAGCTTCTGATGGCTTATCAGCAGCTGCCAACCCATCCGCCTTCCCCTTCTCCTTCTCTTCTGCAGCAGCTGCGGAGTCCTTTGCAGCCCCGCTCTGTTCCTTCCCTTCCGCCCCCTTCTCCCCCACTGCCCCCTCGCCCTCGCCCCCGCCCTGCGCGGCCGGTGCGCCGTCGGGGTCCGCAATGAGCCCCATGCGCAGCAGGTACTCGCGGTCGCGGTGGGCCAGCGGGTTGAAACAAAACGTCGGGATCACGTACTCGTACCTGCATGGGGGAGAGGGGGGTGAGGGGGGGAAGAGCGGTGGGGGTGAAGGAGTTGAGGAGGGAAATGGGGAAAGGGTGAGGAGAGAAGGGGGAGGGAGGAGGAGTTGGGTTTGGGCAGTGGTGGACGGTGGGGCATGGGAGCAGATATGAGCTGCCAGTGCAGAAACTCTGTGGCGCTGTTGCCGCGTTCCAATCCGAGACACCGAGCATCCGTTCAACTGCATGAGTCAAGCGCCTCAGTTTCACACGCCTGCACTTGTCACAGACAGATGCTTCATTTGCTAGACGCACATTCAATATAGCCACGCACCTGCGCCGGTCGCACTGGTCCTTGGCGTTGAACCCTGCCGTGACATTAACGAAGCCCAGCAGCCGCACCTGGTGATTGTATGGGGAAGGTGGGCGGAGGTATTAGGGGAGTTCGGAGGAGGGATTGGGAGTGGGTTGAGGGTAAAGAGACTGGGGGAAAATGCAGGAGAATGGAACTAGAGGAACGAGGAATGGGGTAAGGGACGGGGTAATTATCGGGTTCGCACGGAGGCGGAAGCAGGTGCCACGCAAGGTGGCGCAGCTGGGCTACAAAAAAGCTCAGTAAATGTCGGTAAACAGCAGCACCGCCGCGAGGTTCAGGGTTTCGGGTTTATGCCCTCCACGAACAGTTTGTTGAGGAGCTCACGAGAAACAACAACGTGAGGGCACTCGCCTGCTTGCGCAGGTGCGTATTGACTCGCCTGTTTGGGCAAGTGCTTATTAACGCGCTCCACGAAGCCCGGCGGGTCCAGCACGAGGCGCACGGACACCACCTGCCCCAGCGCGCTCACGCCCTTGTCCGTGCGCGCCGAGCGCATCCAGTCGATCTTCCAGAAGTCCCCGAGGTCGTTCTCCAGGATCGCGCCCGCGCGGTACAGCGCCTTCTCCAGCTCCCCCTCGATCGTGCGCGCGCCCGGGTTGCGCTGCATGCCCTGGTAGCCCGCGCCGCAGTACGCGATAAAGAGCGCCACCTTTTTCTTTTTGTAATACTTTCGGTTGCGCTCTCTCTTTACGTCCTCGTCGTCCCCCTTGTCGCCATCGGCTGCCGTCTCCGTTGTTTCTGCTTCCTCCGACGCTCCTGCCTCCGATTTCAGCCGTTTCGGTTCTCTCTCTGTGTCCCTCTTGCCCCCTTCGTCCTCATTCTTAACCCCCGCTCTGCCATCTAAATTTGCTTTCTCCTCCGTCCCTCTCGTGCTCTCCCCTCTTGCATCTCCCTTCACTTCCTTCGCCGTCTCATTGCCTTGACCACCCGCATCTGCTCCCGCTTTGTCTCCCCCCGTCACTTCCCAATCTCTCGGACCTCCGCCATTCCCCTCCTCCGCTTTTTCCTCCGCCCCTTCACCCTCCGCCTCTCTCGGCCGCTTCTCCCGCGCCGCTGTGTCCGGCTCCGCCTGCGCGCGGTCGACGCCCATTTGCGGGGCGAAGGCGGGCGATACGGGCTCGATCGAAAGCGCCGAATGGAGCGCCTCGACAGCCGAGCGACGACGTCTAATGCGGGTAGCAGGGAGAACACTTCACGCGCAGACAAACGAATTTGACGTTAAGGACGTCTAATTAGAGTTGGAGATTACCTAATTAGCATGAGGAAATTGCCGACACGATAGGGAGGACAAAAAACGCCCGAAGGGGTAAAGAGAATACTACTGTATCGCTGAACCCTCAATGCAAGAAAGGGGTTTCGGAACAAGTTTGATTCTTTACTGCTCCAGACTCACTATGGAGTAGTACTTCACCCGTATTTGTGTCAGCGAACAAGGACTTGCATACATTATATTGATTTCAGAATGCTCCATGACAGAACGCGATGGACCGACTCAACCACTGTATAAACTGAGAATGAAGCATGTACTTCTGGTGATTTGTGAGCCGTACATACATGCGTTACCTATCTCAGATCGAGCAGAACCGTTATTGCCATGTCAGGGACAGCAGGCAACTTAGAACATTCAGTGTTACCAAACCATAGCTTGTGCTAAATTATCAGGCTCAGTACACAAAGGTCGCTGATGGTACTGGTAAGATAATCATTGAATTCAGGACAGAAAGCCAGGTAACTTTTGAGCCTGATCTTAAGGGAGGGGTACAGCTGAGGGTTCTTTCAAGATTTCAGTTCCAAAGCTTTACACACGTCCAGAGACACAAAAGGTTGTGATCGACAACACACATGATAGCACAGAACAAAGCAAGAGTTAAATTGAAAAAATATCGTTAAGTTGTGCTATGACCACGTCCATGGGTCCATCATCCAGCACCACGATATCAAATGACCTCTTATAGATCTCCAACTGCCGCTCCAAGTCATGGTTCAAGAACCCCACTGAGATCTGATTGCTGATACTCACACCCTCCGACATGCCCAGGTCCCCCAGATGGTCGCCCAGCAGAATCACATTCGTCCTGCTCCGCACCTCCGCCACCTCCTCTGCAGCCGTGATTGCACCAGCCTCCTCAACACCTTGCGGAGGCATTGTCAGCACCTGGGTGGCGGAAGCTGGGTTTGTGTGTGCAGCTGTGGTGGTGGCATGGCCGTGAGTGTGAGTGTCAGAAGGTGCAGAGGCCTCCTCCATGGCTGCGAGCTCCAAGGCGTGCTCATTCTTGTTCAACACGTGGATGATGCGCCCTGCAGTGCACCGCAACGCGTGGCATGCCATGGCACGGCATGGCATGGCAAGGTAAGGCAAGGTATGGCGCAGAGGGTTACAATGAGGGTGGATACATGAGGCGGGTGGAGAGGTGAAGGAGAGGTTCGAACAGGGAAGGGTGAAGGAAGGAAGGCAGGACAGGTGACAGACAACTGAAACAGGAAGAACAGGCGTCAAGCCTGCCCATGAACAAAACGTGAAGACGCCATAAGCAAGCACCTGCTTGCATTGCACATGAGGACTTGTGGAAACGACTAGGCCTTTGCCTGAACTAACCTGGAAAGGCGACGAGGCGTCCAGATTCATCGAACTGCATTCGGTTGGAGACCACTCGCACGTTGGAGAAGGAGCGAGGCAGCTGCTGGCGCAGCAGCTGAGAGACGGGCATTGGAGTGTGGGTGAATGTGAGTGGGTGAATGTGAGTGGGTGTGAGTTCACTATGAGGGGGAAATGAGACGGCAAGGTGACGGTACGGGAGTGAGTGGGATGCAGCACATGTGCTATGTGAGATGCACGGAAAGGAGTTGTGAAAGGGTGGCTCCAAGGGTGCTTGCAAAGAAGAGTATGAACGGATGAGTGCATCCATGCTGCACACACACAGCCATGCTGCACACACACAGCCATGCTGCACACACACAGCCATGCTGCACACACACAGCCATGCACAGAAGGAGATCACCCGATCATGCACTGGCATGTCACACCCATCAATGGGCATGCATGAACGCCTTGCCTCTCAAGGCAATCCAATCCCATCTTCCATCACCTCTGCTCTGCCCTATTCCATGCCCTCCATGCCATGCCATGCCATGCCATGCCACGCCACGCCATGTCATGCCAGCCCACGCCATCCCAAGCACTGCACCTCCTCAATGACGTCAGCCAGGCCAGCAGAGAAGATGAGCAGCGGCACAACATGGGCCTGGTCATGCGCGCACCGGGGGAGGGGGTTGGACATACAGGGGGGAACCATTGTGGGTGCTGCAAGGTTGCTTATCCAGTGTGCTAAACCGTGAGGTTCAATGGACACTATTGGCAGAGTAATAATGAGTTTGACATCCAACCAGTCGATGACTGCAGCAACGTCACCTCACCCGCTCACCTGCAGCAGTGCCACTCACCTGCAGCACTGCCACTCACCTGCAGCAGTGCGAGCACAAACAATGCATGCTGGCTGCAACGGCCCCCCACCCCTGCTCACCTCCAGCAGCGCCAGCATGTCACAGAAGCCGTCACGGAAGGCGGTGTTGGCAGCGGCTACACTCTGAGTGACGTCAGCGCGCGTGATTCCACTCTCTAGCAACAGTTCGTGTGCTGCCGTCCACCTGGCCCCGCGGTAATAGAGGACGAGTAATAAGAACGGATAGAGAGCGGCAGAATGTGGTTGAGCCAATGTGGAAGGTGGTGGTAAGAATGTGGAAGAGGGTGGGTTATCGCACCCTCCGACAACAGCAGCTCCTATGCCACTGACTACCTGCGATCAGGGGGTAGCACGTACAGAGCGGTACAATGCGGTTGAAGGCAACCTGGTACGAAGGTGGTTACAGAGTGACAGTGGGGTGGTTTCACACTCCAGCAGCACCTTGTGCTGATTGCGCTGTCCACATGCCTGTAAACAGTGGTACCAGCATGTGTGTAATAGACATGTTCAACGAGGCGAGCTACTCGCCTCGGCTCGTACGAGGCACTCGTCCGAGCCGAGGCGGGTTTTGCTCGGCGAGTTTTAAAAACTCGCTGAGCACTCGTTCTGTGGGCTGGTCTTGCGACCCCCCACCCAAAATTGACGCTCTCCAGGGCAAAAGACCTGGTAAATTTATTTGTATGTTTGCAGGGTATCTTATTAGGCAGCAGGTTTACAAAATTAGGCATGTACATGCTGGTATAGGGCAACGAGCCGAGCTAAGCTCGGACGAGCTTTTAAAAAGCTCGTGAGAAGAGACAAGTCACGAGCTTAAGTTTCCCCTGGAAAAACTCGGACGAGCTAAACTCGGCTCGTGACATTACTCGTACGAGTGTGCCCGGGGACGAGCCGAGAAAAACGCGGATCGTTGCTTTGCACATGGATAGTGTGTAACATGGTATGGTTACCACCGCGCTCCAACAACGCAGTGACAGCTGGTGTACAGCTGCTGTGGCCCTACCAGAGCAGGCCACAAGTCATCAACTCTCGAGGCGTACATAAAAAGCCCAGAATCCTGGTGTGACGTCAGCCCCTACTACGCGACCAGAACTCGCCACTGTGCCCGACGTCTCCACACACTCACCACCACTCACCCACCAAGCCCTCAACCTTGTCCCCACACTGTCACACCGCCCCGCACCTACAATACAAGCACCTGCTGTGCGCCTGGGGCTCCACAGGGTGCTTCACTGCCACCTGTCTCTGCCTGCCCCTTCCTCCCGTGCACTCACGGGTACTCACTCACTACTCAGCCACGACTTTCCCAGCCTTAACAACCACCCCACCCACCATGCTAGTATGCACTGCAGCTTTGCTCATAGGGCAGGACTGGGTCCGTATCCATGGAGGTACATGGCTGCTACCTGCATGGCCCTCACTGCACCCCATACTCCTATCCCATGCACCTACGGCCACCCACCCACCACTCCGCCATGAATTTGAACTTGTCCTCATGCGGCAGGCTTGGGTCCGTCTCCCTGGGCATGTACTGCGCTGCTACCTGCATGCCCCTCGCCTCTAAGTCGGCTCGACCGCAGTACAGCACCATGTGACAGCCTTAGGGAGGGAGGGGAGGGCCCAGTGCAGGCAGAGCACACAGTAGACATGATGGGTGACGAGCGCCCACCTGAGCAGCACTCCCCTTCCATCACCACGCACTCCCCCTCACCAGCATGTGGCAGCCTTGTGGAGGGAGGGAGGGAGGAAGAGGGTGCTCAACACATGCAGCACACACACACAAATCGTCATTGATCCACGCCACCATGCACGCACATGCACACACGAGCAGCACGCACCACTCCACCATGCATTTGAACTTCTCCTCGTACGGCAAGTGCGGGTCCGTCTCCAAGGGCAGGTACTTGGCTGTCAGCCGCCTGCCCCTCTCCTCCAACTCCGGGTGCCGCAGGTTCAGCAGCATGTGGCAGCCTGGGCGAGGGGGGCGAGAGGGGTGAGGGGCGAGAGGGGTGAGGGGCGAGAGGGGTGAGGGGCGAGAGGGGTGAGGGGCGAGAGGGGTGAGGGGCGAGAGGGGTGAGGGGCGAGAGGGGTGAGGGGCGAGAGGGGTGAGGGGCGAGAGGGGTGAGGGGCGAGAGGGGTGAGGGGCGAGAGGGGTGAGGGGCGAGAGGGGTGAGGGGCGAGAGGGGTGGGGGCCGAGAGAGAGTGAGGGGCGGGAGCGGGTGGTGAGGGGACGAGGGGGGCAAGACACGAGGGGGGGAGAAAGCACGAGGAATACAGTTGACTAACAGACTTGCTGCCGACCATTCTCGCTACCTGATTTACCCTCTGCCGCCCTCCCTGCCTCCCCAACTTGCCATCACCTTGGCACAACCTGCCTGGCCTGTCCACATGCTCTGATACCACCATGGCACCTGCACTCACTCTGCCCCGGCTTGCCGTTGACTGTGAACTTGGTGAGCGTGCGGTCGAAATCCGCTATCACCTGCACGCGTGGAGGGGGGATGAGCAGGGGGGGTTAAGGGGTGTTGATGGGCGGGGAACGGGAGGGGAGGGGAAAACAGCAGGGAGAGGTGAAACCTGAGAGTGCAACGCATGCCGAGGCTCACAGCGGAGGTAAGTTCTATTTGGGAGACCAGAAACAACTGATGCATTCCAGCCACCCTTATAATAAAACAGGGAATTGTCAGAAACCACCCTTGGCGGAAAATCCCAGGCGGCACGGCGATGATGGATTTGGAGTCAAGCTCACCTGCACTGTATCGTGCCCTGCTGCTCTCATCGCCCGCTTCTTCCGCTGCAGTTCCTCTATATCGCGTATAACCACACCCTTTGGAAGCCCGCTCAATATAGGCACATCGGATCCACCACTCGTGCTGGCTCCTCCTGAGCTCCCCTCCACTGGCGAAGGCATGGCGACAGGCTCGGACAACAACACACCAGGCTCGGATTCCGAGCCACTAGGTACGGAATTTGAGGCAAGCACAGACGAAGAAAATCGTGCTGCGAGCGATCCGGATTTATGTAAGAGCCGGGTCCGATCCAAGCTTAATCGTTCAGAGACAAATTCCCCGGGTTTGCAGGAGTCGACGAGCTTGTGATACGATGGCGCGGAACCTAATGATCTCAACCGTCGCGTAGAGAGAAAGGAGGAAGAGAGTTGCGATCCGGCTATCGGCGACGAGAGTGCGGTGTGTAACGGAGATGCGCGACACGGCCGCGCGAGAAGCAGGAGAGAGCGGCTCGTGACTGCCAGTGGGAGAGCTGGAGAACGCGGTCCAGCCAAGCTACAGGTGCGTGGCAACGTGCGCCGTGATATGGGCATGAGAGGGCGATGGCAGGAGGCCATGGCTCGTGCGAGGTGGCGACATGAGGGAAGGCGCTGCGACAAGCAAGCAGGCATGCAGTGAGCAGGCTTGCGTTCCGAGGAGGCTTGCGTAATACCTCGCGGTGAAGGTGCGTGCCAAGGGGGCGAAGGCTTTGAGTAGAGCCGCGGCACCGAAATTTTGTGTTTCAATTCAATATCGTTTTCAAACGAAGGGAAAGCCGTGATTTGTGACCTGAACTTCAACAATTTGTGGCGACGGGGAGTTCGCGACATGTAACTACAACTCGACCACTCGTTGCCGTTCGATGAACTTCGTTGCTTTCGTGATTCGACTTCCTGAACGAACATTATATGTGAAGCGCACTTATAACAGTCTGTCAATTTTGTCTGTAACGAGTCATCACTTTCGCGTATGCCTTTCCCTCCCTCCTCCCCAACTAGCAGCACCTGCTGATCGCGCCGCACAACGGCACAGACATGGCTTGAAGCCATTTTCAACCTTTCCATTTCGCCACTCCCCTATGGCTCTATCGTCCACCTCGGCCGTCGCGCGCCAACTCGCTGCCGCTCGAGTGTCCACATTCACTGCATCCTCCTCGCCAATCCGCGCACAGCGCGTGTCCTCACGCGGCCCTCTAGCATCACTTTCTCCGTCCACATCTCCGCGCGGTCCTAACATCGACGCTCGGCAGAATATCCGCGTTACAAGCATCTCGTCGAACTCGCTATTTTCATCCCGCCGTGCGCGCAGTAGTGGCGGTTCAGCAGCAGCGATCAGCTTCTCCAGTCGCGCAGATCAATCGCTGCGCTCCGTCGATCGTCGCCGGCCGCCCTTTTCCCCTCCGGCTGGCAGGAGGGTGAGACCCTGACGTCACCCTGACATCGATCTTGATACTATATCGCTTTCAATCAGATACCAATTCTCAAACTCTTGGACCGTGTTTGTACCAAATGATGGCTTCTGTAGCCCGTAACGGCGTCTGCCGTCAACGGACACGTCAGAAAGCGCGAGTTCTGACCTCTTTTGGCTCGTAACTCTGTTTGGCTTCCCTCGCTCCTCATGCCTGCCAAACAACCTTATCCCCTCATTCCTGCTGTCATCTCCTCCTTACGCTGACGTGCAGTTGCCAGCTCAGCATCTTGGTATCCGAGCTGCTGGAGACAGCGCTTCCAGAAGCAGCAGCAGCAGCAACAGCAGCAGCTGCGTCAGCAAAAGGAGAGCAGGAAGCTTCAGAGCAAGTGCAGGCCGAGTGGAAGAGGAAGCAGGGAGCACAGCAGAGGCAGCGGGCAGTGAGGCAGCGGGCAGTGAGGCAGCGGGTACAGAGGGGGTGAGAGGAGAGGCGGCGGCAGCAGCAGCGCGGGCAGCAGCGGAGGCGAATCCGCCGAGGATGTTCTTCTCGTCTGTGAGCGTGGACCGTGCAGGGCAGTACAGGAACGACGCTACCTGGCTCAAGGCGGCTCTTGGCAAGCCAACCACCGTGGTATGGTGTGGTGTGGTGTGGTGTGGTGTGAGTCGCGAAGGGCACCACAGGAACCGAGCAGATTGGCTCAAAGAGGCTGTCGGGAAACCATCCACCGTGGTGTGACGCTGTGGGGGGCTATGAGGCACGCATGGGGGGCTATGAGGCACGCATGGGGGGCTATGAGGCGTGCATGGGGGGCTATGAGGCGTGCATGGGGGGCTATGAGGCGTGCATGGGGGGCTATGAGGCGTGCATGGGGGGCTATGAGGCGTGCATGGGGGGCTATGAGGCGTGCATGGGGGGCAATGCAATGCATGACTTGCGAACCCTCGCACCCAGTTTGGCATGACCTAAATTGGCATGACTTATCATCGTGCTCTGCCATCCATGGCATGCCCGTTGCGTTGCGTTGCGTTGCGCTGTGTTGTGTTTGTTCTGGCATGTAAGGCGATGTCAGCATGACATGACGTGGCGTTTGTTCTGGCATGGCGCGATGGTAAGGCATGCCACATGATCCGGTTCCATTGACGTGGATTGCATACGCATGCGATCCATCGTCCACGGAACCCACATGCCGTGCGGGCATGTGATGAAGTACATGTTGCCTGCCCATCTGCCCCTCACCCATGCATGCAGGCAGCATGCTGTTCCACACATGAGCTCTGACATACATGAGTTGTGCACATAAGAGAGTGCAAGGATCATATTCCCCGCGTACCACATGCCATGCCACGCCCATCCATGTGCCCATCAGGTCATTCCATGGAGCCATGGTCGGTCGCTCATCAACCATGGCCGGGCAGTCCTCGCCTCGCCTGCTGACATCATCATCAGCCCCACCACCATCACTGCACCTCACGCCGTTTCTGCCTCTAATGGCGCTGCTGATGTTGCCAGCAGCAGTGCAAGCGGCACGGGAGTTGAGCCATTTTGCTTCCTGGGCCTCCTCATGCCGTCAGGCCATGCTGCCTTCGCTGTTGCTGTTGAGTGCGTGCCGCCTGCATTCACCCGCTGCAGTGTGATGCCATCTGTTTGCATCTCATCTTATTCGATCTGATCTGGTCAGCCGATGTCAATCTCGTTTACCCCAACACCCTCACTTTCACCTCGCTGCTGTGCCATCACCAGCACCAAAGATTGTCATTCTCTCCGCTCCTCTCCCCACTACGCCCACCACACTCCTGACCCCCAAGTGATCTCCTATGTCCTCCAAGTTACCTGTGCGCCTCACCTCACCCCATGACCTGCTGTCCTGTCCTCGACCCCCCTGCCCTGCCCCTTTCCACTGGTTGTTCCTGCGCTTCCAGGGGCCAACCCTGCCCCTCACCCACCAGCACTCACGCTCTCACCCATCTCCCTCATTCCCCCACCTGTCCCCCCATCCTCTCCTGCAATTCCACACCCCCCCCCCCCCCCCCCCCCAGCACTGCCCCGTCGCCTCAAGACGCCTCTGCCGCGCCCCTCCCCGCCTACACCCCCCATGCGGGCGCCCAGTGGGTGTCGCTGCGCTCACAGGGGCCAACGCTGCCTCGCCCCCACTTGCAGTCTCTCACTCTCTTACCCTCTTACCCATCCCCCTGCTCCCGCCCCATCCTTCCCCCCAATATTCCCGCCAGCTCTGCCTCGTCACCAACCCAGGGCGCCTCTGCCGCCCCCCTCCCCGCCTACACCCCCCCTGCGGGCGCTGAGTGGGTATCTCTGCGCTCGCAGGGGTCCGCGCTGCCCGCCTTTGATGCGGGGCTGCTGGCATACGCCAATGGGCTCATGGAGTGGCACAGCCGCAATGTGAGTGCATTCACTCGCACCCACTAGTGCTGGGTTTCGGGAAGTGGTAGCGTGTGGGTCGCTGCCCAATGGGCGTGGGACTGGTACCACTGCTGCCACGTGAGTGGGTTGGGATGTGTCCTCTGTAGCCTGGGGCCACGAGAGGAGTGGCCTGTGGGTCACTTCCTATGGAGTGTTATGTAGCCCTCTTTTTCTCTTCCCTCTTACTCATCCCCTTTTTTCGCGCTCCCCTCCCCATGTCTTGCACTGTGCCTCCCCATGTCTTGCACTGTGCTCTTTGTCTTGTACTGCATGTCTTGCATTGCACTGTGCCTCCCATGTCTTGCATGGCACTGTGCCTCCCATGTCTTGCATTGCACTGTGCCTCCCATGTCTTGCATTGCACTGTGCCTCCCCACCAGCGCTTCTGCTCGCAGTGCGCGGCGCCTCTCATCCCAGCAGAGGGGGGCTACGCCAGGCGCTGCACCAACTCCTTCCCCGCCCCTCCTGCCCCACCTGCTGCCGCTGTGCCTCCCGCTGCTGCTGCTGCTGCTGCTGCTGCTGCTGCTGCCGGGCTGGTAGCAGCAGCGGATGGCAACGGTGCAGCGCAGCCGTCAGCGCCATCATCAGCGCCGTCGCCTGCTGGGAAGCCCAAGTGCGCCGCCTCCATCATCTTCCCCCGCCTCGTGAGTGCCTCGTGAGTCTGTCTGTGCCTTCTCACAGTGCCTCGTGAGTCTGTCTGTGCCTTCTCACAGTGCCTCGAGAGTCTGTCTGTGCCTTCTCACAGTGCCTCGAGAGTCTGTCTGTGCCTTCTCACTGTGCCCCCCGGGAGAGCGTCTGATTGGTGGGGTGCTGTGCATGGTGCTGCCATGCTGTGCATGGTGGTGTGGTGAGTCTGTCTGTCTGTACCTTCTCAGTGAGCCTCCTCAGTGCGCTGTGCATGGTGCTGCCATGCTGTGCATGGTGGTGTGGTGCAACGTGGAGTAATGGCTCTACAGAGTGAGCTGCGCTACAGAGTGAGCTGCGCTACAGAGTGAGCTGCGCTACAGAGTGAGCTGCGCTACAGAGTGAGCTGCGCTACAGAGTGAGCTGCGCTACAGAGTGAGCTGCTCTACAGAGTGAGCTGCGCTACAGAGTGAGCTGCGCTACAGAGTGAGCTGCTCTACAGAGTGCCCTGTGATCACAACTGATGTTCTTCATATCGCCCTGTCATCATGCTCTCGCTCGCTTCCTCTCTTTGCCTCTTCCTCATCCCCTTCGTCTCCTCACATCTCCCCTCCTCTCCCTTGTCCCGCCTCTCCCCTGCTCCCCTCCCAACCCTCTACATCGCGCCGCACAGGAACCAGCAGTGATCATGTGTGTCTCGTGGGGCGACTTTGTGCTGCTGGGCAGGAAGGTAAGAGCAGCGTGCTGCTGGGCAGGCAGGTGAGAGCAGCGTGCTGCTGGGCAGGCAGGTGAGAGCAGCGTGCTGCTGGTTGAGATGGGTGGAAGGAGGGGCGGAATGGGTGGGGGGAGGAGGAGAGAAGTGCCATGGGATTGGATTCAATAAGATGGGATGGGATGGGATGGGATGGGATGCACGAGAAGAGGCACATGGGTGGTGAAGGCAGTTCATTCACATCAACCATCTTCTGCTGCTACCTTCCTACACTTCTCTCGCGTGCTTCCTTCACTCTCTTCTGCTCCTGTTCGCCCTTGTCCGTCCTCACATACCTCCCCCCCAACCCTTCCCTCCCCCCCTCACCCTCCCTCTCCCCCCTTCCTCTCCCGCCCGTTCCTCCCTCCTCTTGCTCTCTCTTTCAGTCGCGCTGCCCCCAGGGGTGCTACGCTACTGAGTGCTGGCTGGTTTCATTGAGGTGGTGGCGACATTTGGCCGTGTTCCCTCCATATGCTCCCTCTCCCCCTCATCCTCCCTCCTCCCTCTCTCCCTCCCGCTTATCCCCCTCCCCTCAGTCGCGCTGGCCTCCGGGGCGCTACTCAGTGCTGGCGGGGTTTGTGGAGGTGGGGGAGACGTTTGACATGGCGGTGGAGCGCGAGGTGTGGGAGGAGGCGCGCGTGCACGTCGACGCAGACACCATTAAGTGAGTACGCTGTCACACTCAGCTAAGTGGTTCATTCAACCCGGTGTTTGACATGGCGGTGGTGTGCGAGCTGTGGGAGGGGGCGCGCGTGCAGGCAACCCCGGCACCGTCAGGTGGGTGACTGGGCAACTGTTGTGAGCGATGCTGGCGTCAGTCAGCCATGCCCCTTCCCCTCATCCTGCGTGCCCAGGCCCATTTCCCCCTTACACCACCCCAGCCAGCCCTGGCCCTTCCCTTCATCCCTCATGCTCGCCTTCTCGCTCAACCGCCGCCCTCTCCAACCCCACCCCACCCCTTGTTACCTCCCTTCTTTCCCCCACCCTCCTCATCAGAAGCCACACCAGCCAGTCCTGGCCTTTCCGCTCCTCTTTAATGGTCGCATTCACAGCACCAACCCTCCGCTCTCAAACCTCATTCTTACATCGTTTCTCTCCAACCCACCTTCCTTATCAGGTACCAGGCCAGTCAGCCGTGGCCCTTCCCCGCGTCCCTCATGGTGGCCTTCACCGCCCAGGCCCTGCCCTCGGGCCCGCCTGCCATGGCCCTCTCTCAGCCGGACTACGGGCTGACAGGGGAGGAGAGGGGCGCGGCGCTGCTGCCGTGGCAGCAGCTGCCCGTGGCACGCACCGACACCAACGAGTTAGAGGTGAGCCACGGGTGGGATGGGCGTGGGTGGGATGGGCGTGGGTGGGGCGTGGGTGGGATGGGCGTGGGTGGGGCGTGGGTGGGATGGGCGTGGGTGGGATGGGCGTGGGTGGGATGGGCGTGGGTGGGATGAGCATGTCAGTGGGTGCAACGGTGGGGTATGGGCCTACTTACAAGGTAAGAGCCGCACTGGTGCCGTGGCAGCAGCTGCCTGTGGCGCGCACGGACAGCAACGAGTTAGAGGTGAGGCACGGCACGGGTGCATGGGCATGGATGGCATGAGCATGGATGGCATAAGCATGGATGGCATGAGCATGGATGGCATGGCATGAGCATGGATGGCATGAGCATGGATGGCATGAGCATGGATGGCATGGCATGAGCATGGATGGCATGAGCATGGATGGCATGAGCATGGATGGCATGAGCATGGATGGCATGGGCGCGTCAATGGGTGCAATGGAGGTGCACTACGGGCTCACGGGGGAGGAGAGGAGTGCTGTCCAGATGCCATGCAGCAGCTGCCTGTCGTGCGCACCGACACCAACGAGCTGGTTGGGCATGGGGCGCGGGTCTGATGCCTGGCTGTTCGGACCTCCGATCCTCCAGGCATGGCCTTTCCCTGCTCTTCTGCAGCGTCCTTCCTGCCCCCTCTTCCTCTTGCCACTTCCCCTTCTCTTCCTTCTCCCTCTGCCTACTCCCTCTACTGTCTCCTTCTGCCGTCCTTCCCTTATCCCTCCCACTTCCCCCATCAGGATGCGCGCTGGTTCCATCGGGACTTCATTCGAGCGCTCCTCAGCGACTCCGCGTGCAACACATGGCTGCAGCAGCCGCATGCTGGTGAGACGAATCAGATTCCAACATCTGCCTCGGACCATGTTTTTTGTATTTATCGCCAACAACACCGTGAGACGAATTAAGTGACAACATCTCTTGCTCTAGCTAGAGCAAATTCTGTTTCTCGTGAGGGGTTACATTTGGCAAGATTCAGGCAGATGCTGGTTCAATCACAAGGTGCACACCCATTTCCACCATGCTGGAGCCAACATCTGCTTCGAACCACCCACCCGCCTTTTAATCAACATCCTTTTCTGCCTCCATTACCCCCACTTCCCCTTCTTCTTCACCCCTCCCTCCCCTTTTTCTTCACCCGCCACCTCCCCTTCTTCTTCACCCCCACCTCCCCTTCTTCTTCACCCCCACCTCCCCTTCTTCTTCACCCCCCACCTCCCTCAGTCCAGCTCTAGCTCCTCCTCCTTTTGAGCCCCTTCCGATTTGTCGATCAATTAGAAATTGTGCCTTTGAATTCCTTGCCCCTCCTTGCCATTAGCCCTCCAATGACCTAACCTCGTCTCTCGCCCCTTCTTCTCTCCTCCCCCACACATCTCTCCATCGCAACAGACGCCTCCCCAGCCCCCCCTGCACCGCCCGCACAGCCCTCTGGCACCACGTGGGCCTTCCCCCCTCTCCCCCGCTCTGCTGTTGCCGTCCCTGGCCCCCATGCCATCTCCCACTCGCTGCTGGCGGGATGGGCTAAGGGGGGTGGGGCAGGGGTTGATGGAGACTGGCCTGGAGTAAGGGTGCCTGACGTGGATATCGACACAGGTGACGTGGATATTGCACATTGTCTTTGGTATTGGGCCCTTTGGTGCCACGTGACCTGCGTATACACCACCGCGATGCCTTGTTCGCTTGCTGTCATCATGCCGTTGCTGCTCCTGCACCATGTTCGCCCTCTGCCAACCATGCTCCCTTGCCTGCACCATACAACACAGTCCACATCTTCCTTATCACCCCCTTTTATATCACCCTCTTCCTTATCACCCCCTCCCATATTGCCCCCTTTGATCCCACCTTGTCCATCTCACCCCGTCCATACCACCCAGGCATTTTCAAGTATGTCCTCATTCGCCTCAAGTCGCCAGAGCACGGCCGTTCCAAGCTGGTAAGCACCTGGGTTCAACCATTTGCAACTAACCTCAACCGTCCTCAAACATCTACAACCGTCCTAAACCCCAGTATCCACTGTTGGTTAGGCAGTGATCTGAGCTGGTGGTTGGAATTTCACCAAGCTGGTGGCAAATGCAGTGCCGCCTTTTCCAAAGCGAGGTGGAGTGGGGTTGGCCAGGTGTGAAGAGTGAAGGCATTCGCAGGCAGTGGTGGCCGCAGGGACAGTAGCTGCTGCAACAGGGTGAGCCTGTGGGTAACGTGCGTCGCACCCTTACATCCTCCCGCCCATCCTTTGTGCTCCCTACTATACTTCCCCACCCACTCTCTTTTGCCTGCCCTCCAACCCCCTTCCCTCCCCACCTTTTTTTTTTCCTCCCTCGTCTCCCTTCTTCCCTCTCCTCCGTTCTTCCCGTTTTCCTACCTTCCTCCATCTCTTCCTCCCCCTCCCGTCCCCCTCTCCCTGCAGATAGTGCGGGGGGACAAGAGGGCGCCCTTCCACAACGACGTGCTGCAGCACACCGCACGTTTCATGGCGCCCCTGGGGCTCAAGGTAGGCTTCATGGCGCCCCTGGGGCTCAAGGTAGGCTTCATGGCGCCCCTGGGGCTCAAGGTAGGCTTCATGGCGCCCCTGGGGCTCAAGGTAGGCTTCATGGCGCCCCTGGGGCTCAAGGTAGGCTTCATGGCGCCCCTGGGGCTCAAGGTAGGCTTCATGGCGCCCCTGGGGCTCAAGGTAGGCTTCATGGCGCCCCTGGGGCTCAAGGTAGGCTTCATGGCGCCCCTGGGGCTCAAGGTAGGCTTCATGGCGCCCCTGGGGCTCAAGGTAGGCTTCATGGCGCCCCTGGGGCTCAAGGTAGGCTTCATGGCGCCCCTGGGGCTCAAGGTAGTGCGATTCGAGGAATGAGGTGTTTCAGGTTGTTAAGGCATAAGCCGTTCACCCTGGCATCGCTCCGAGTTGCAAGGCACACTCAGAGTTGCTTCATGGCGCCTCTGGGCCTCAAGGTAGCGCTGTTGACGTGAAGAAATGGTGCGGGTACTGCAGGATTAAGCCGTTCACCTTGGCTAGTTCCAGATTTTGAGGTGCATCCAGAGTCAGTTCATTGCGCCTCGCGGCCTCAAACCATCGTTACTGAAGCATTTGTGTGCGGTACAACGACGATTGTGATAATGATGGGTCCTCATTCACCCAGGCATGTTTCCGAGTTTTTGAAGCTCCTCAATAGTCTCTCATCGTACCCTTGGCAACCCTGTGGTAACTGTATTGCAAAGGTGACAGGTCCACCCTGACATGGTTCCAAGTTTCTTCGCAGTGCTCTGTGCCTTTACCAGCGTGCTGCTTTCTGGAAGCCATGTGTTACGTGTACCAACGTGCACGCCATCGTCTGAAAGCCTCAGTGGGGGCCCCTGATGCAAGGCCTGCTGCATTCTGCCTATCTTCTGATCTGCATGGGCAGGTGGAGGCTGTAGGTGGCGGTCGGATCAACCACGATGCGGCAAAGAAGCAAATTACCATCTACGGCTTCTCACAGGTGCGCTTGGTTGAATGCCGCTGCTGACAAGTGGGTCTGCTAGACTCAGCTTCTCCAGAAACACATTGTTTCTTTCTTTTTTCAATTATTTTTCTTGTGCTGCTTCATTTTCTTGATTGCTTTCAGGCATTTGGCCGGGCTGACCACAAGGTAACCGCAGCTATTGTTCGGCGGTGGTATCCTCTTCATAGCATTGCCACATCAAACCATGGTTATTAAACAGAGACTCCATTCTACCTAGTGTATAAGCGCTTGTATTTAACTTCTCGAAGTTCCAGTCTTTTCCCTTGAGGCAGCTTTTAATGCTGGCTGTTAATCAATGTATACACTATATGGTACATTGTTATTCGGGGACCATAGCTTATTGAAGGTGAAAAGGTTCAAAACCTTGCTGCGTTGATTGTTCTTATTGGGTCGGTCATAAGGGAATGTACCGGGGTGTTAGAATCTAGCAGCAGGAATGATGAACTAGCAGCATGCAGGAGTACAAGTAGTAAACCCTAATTGGGTTGTACCCCATATGGGCTACCCCACTACAGCCTAGACAATATGCAGCATAAATGTTTGACACACCCCTATAGGCAAAGTGGGGGAGAACAAGGGGTCACACGACCAGTCATGAGAAGCAGAGCAAGCTCAGGGTGGATCACAACGTCACCACACATTCTGAGCACAAGCAAATGGCCACAAGGCCAGTCCACATGCAGAGATATATATGCAACAATAACAGTACAGTGATGACTACCTAGCAAGAGCAGGCATGCATGTATATATATAGATCACAGTACAAGCAGAGACTACAGCAAGTGTGGAAACGTAGGCACAAGACCTAACAGGGTACAAAAGCGCTGATGATCACCAGATGGAAGTGCCTTGGTGAATATATCAGCAGTGTTGGCCCGAGTTACCACGTGACGAAGACGAAGCTGACCTCGCTGCTGCAACTCTCGAGCCAGGAAGTAACGCAGAGCGATATGCTTCGTTCTGTGCTCCAGTCTGTGCTCCTCACACAACGCAATAGCCTCCTTGTTGTCAACGTACAGAACTGGAGGAGAACGAGGCCGCTCACCCAAGTCAGTCAGCAGGTAGGTGAGCCAGCGTAGCTCCTGTGCAGCCATGGCGGTGGCGTAGATCTCAGCCTCACAACTGGAGCTGAGAACAGAAGACGAGCGTGTAGACCGCCAAGAAACAGAGCCAGAGCCAAGGCTGAAGGTGTAACTCTGTGACGACCGCTGTGTAGTCTGGTCGTCAACCCAAGACGCGTCTGAGTGCCCAGTGAGGACAACTGGGCTCGTCCCTCCAAGCACTAGCCCCATGCCTGATGTGCTGCACAAGTAGCGCAGTACCCTCTTAGCAGCAGCCATGTGCTCAGGTCGGTGCCGACCAGGAGCCACGTTGTGAGCCAGAAGACCAAGAGGGTACGCGAGGTCAGGTCGAGTGCAAGTCATCAGGTACATGAGGCAGCCAACTAGCTCTGGGTAAGGACCACTCGGCTCTACGGACTCGTCCGAAGGTGGAGCTGAGAGCGAGTGACCTGTAGCCAGAGGAGTGGCCTGTGCTGAAGACCAGGTGAAGCCGAAGCGCTGAAGGACCTGCTGCACCATGTGTGACTGAGTCAGGGTGATGGTGCGGTGTGCTCTGTCCCGGGTGATCCGCAAGCCAAGGTAGCTGCGCAGCTCACCCAAGTCTGTGCACGTGTGTCTCTTCTGCAGCTCCGACTTCACGTGGGCGAGAGCCTCAGTGTCAGCAGTGGCAAAAACCAAGTCGTCGACGTACACGAGGATGTAGAACGGCGGCAGTGAAGTGTCAGTGCGCAGAAACAGCGACGGGTCAGCAGTAGAAGGCGCGAACCCAAGAGCCGCAAGCGTAGTCCTCAGTGTGTCGTGCCACTCATGTGGCGCCTGGCGGAGACCGTAGACCGGCCGCCGGAGGCTCCACTGGGTACCAGGAGGGAACGACCCAGTGAAGCCCGGGGGGTGGCGCAGCCAGATCTCCTCGTGCAGGCTGCCCTGCAAGAAAGCTGTGCTGAAGTCAAGAGAGTGAAGCTCGTAGTCACGGTGAGCGGCAACGTGCAGCAGCACCCAAAGAGTGGTCATCTTCGGGGTGGGGGAGAAGGTCTGGAAGAAGTCTACTCCCTCTCGCTGATTGAAGCCTCGAGCAACGTAACGAGCCTTGAAGACAGGCGGAGAACCTGGCAGCCGCTTCACCCTGAAAATCCACATGCCACTGACGATGTTCGCCCCAGGAGGGGGAACCTCGTCGACGTAAGTGCAAGTGGACTTCCCGGATGCCATCTCTGCGTCCATGGCTGTCTGCCACTGAGAGGAGTACTCACCCGCGATCGCCTCAGCGTAAGAGCGCGGGGTCGGGATGTCTGGTGCATCCGGGTCTCCCTCAGGTGCAATCAGCATGGACACGAGATGAGGTACAGCAGCCGCATGTCGGAGTTTACAGACAGGAATGATGAACTAGCAAAGATTGTGAGTACAAATATGAAACCCTAATGCTGTGACCCCCCTATAGGCTAACCCACTACAGCCTACACAAATATAACATGTATAAAGTTTGACACACCCCCATAGGCAAAGTGGGGGAGACCTAGGGGTCACAAGACCAGTCAAGGCAAAGCAAGACAACAACAAGCTCAGGGTGGATCTCAAGGATTCCACACAAATTCTGAGCACAAGCTAGTGGTCACAAGACCAGTTCACATGCAGGTTTATAACAGAGCAAGAGATACAGTGATCACAACCTAGCAAGAGTAAACATGCAGGTATATATATATAGCAATCACAGTACAAGCAAAGTCAAGAGGTAAGCAAGTGAGGTCCAGTAGGCACAAGGCCTAGTAGAGTACAGAAGCGCTGATGGTCACGAGGCTGAAGCGCCTTGGTGAACACATCAGCAGTGTTGGCCTCAGTGGCCACGTAGCGAATACAAAGCTGACCGCGCTGCTGCAGCTCTCGAGCAAGGAAGTACCGCAGAGCGATGTGCTTCGTTCTGTGCTCCAGTCTGTGCTCCTCACACAAGGCAATGGCAGCCTTGTTGTCGACGTACAGCACTGGAGGAGAACGAGGCCGCTCTCCGAGGTCGGTCAGCAGGTAGGTCAGCCAGCGTAGCTCCTGGGCAGCCATGGCTGTGGCGTAGATCTCAGCCTCACAACTGGAGCCGAGAACAGAAGAAGAGCGCGTAGAGCGCCAAGAAACTGAGCCAGAGCCAAGGCTGAAGGTGTAACCCTGAGACGACCGCTGAGTGGCCTGGTCGTCTGCCCAAGAAGCGTCTGAGTGCCCTGTGAGAACAACTCGGTCTCGCCCTCCAAGCACAAGCCCCATGCCCGACGTACTGCACAAGTAGCGCAACACCCTCTTAGCGGCATCCATGTGCTCCTTCCTGTGACGGCCAGGAGCGACATAGCGTGCAAGGATGCTAAGAGGGTATGCAAGGTCAGGACGAGTGCAGGTCATCAGGTACATGAGGCAGCCCACAAGCTCTGGATACGGGCCACTCGGCTCTACGGACTCATCCGAAGGCAGAGCTGAGAGCGAGTGACCGGTAGGCAGAGGAGTGGACTGAGGCGAGGAGTACGTGAAGCGGAAGCGCTGGAGAACCTGCTGCACCATGTGTGACTGAGTCAGGGTGATGGTGCGCCGTGCTCTGTCCCGGGTGATCCGCAAGCCAAGATAGCTTGTCAGCTCACCCAGGTCTGTGCACGTGTGTCTCTTCTGCAGCTCCGACTTCACGTAGGCGAGTCCTGCAGTGTCAGCAGTGGCAAAGACCAAGTCGTCGACGTACACGAGGATGTAGAACGGCGGCAGCGAAGTGTCGGTGCGTAGGAACAGCGACGGGTCAGCTGTAGAAGGCGCGAACCCAAGAGCCGCAAGTGTAGTCCTCAGTGTGTCGTGCCACTCACGCGGAGCCTGGCGGAGACCGTAGACCGGCCGCTGAAGCCTCCACTGGGTACCAGGAGGAAACGACCCAGTGAAGCCAGGTGGGCGGCGCAGCCAGATCTTCTCGTGCAGGCTGCCCTGCAAGAAAGCAGTGCTGAAGTCAAGTGAGTGAAGCTCGTAGTCGCGGTGAGCGGCTATGTGCAGCAGCACCCGAAGAGTAGTCATCTTCGGGGTGGGGGAGAAGGTCTGGAAGAAGTCAACTCCCTCTCGCTGACTGAAACCTCGAGCCACGTAACGCGCCTTGAAGACAGGCGGAGAACCCGGCGGCCGCTTCACCCTGAAAATCCACATGCCACTAACGATGTTCGCCCCAGGTGGGGGAACCTCGTCGACGTAGGTGCCTGTGGACTTCCAGGAAGCCATCTCGGCGTCCATGGCTGTCTGCCACTGAGAGGAGTAGGGACCCGCCATCGCCTCAGCGTAAGTGCGCGGGGTCGGGATGTCTGGTGCATCCGGGTCTCCCTCAGGGGCAACTAGCAAGGACACGAGACGGGGCAAAGCAGCAGCAAGACACTGGAACTCCTCCTGTCTGTCCTCAAGGACGTCCGTGCCAAGAGCACACTCACCCCCGACGGACGGAGGACAGACAGACTCAGACTCAGACTCAGCAACAAGGCTAGCAGCGTAGTCTAGACGACAGGCAGCAGCAAAGTCAACCAACTCAGCGACAAGAGCAGACGCAGCTGAGGACTCAAAGGTAGGGTCAGTGACAACAGTAGCAAGGAGACGCGTGACAGTAGGGTGCTCAGCACGATACCGGTCAGACGCAGGGTCCGGAACGTCAGGCAAAGAGGACGCAGGAGGAGACGGTAGAGGGACACGCTGAGGAGCAGTAGAGGGACGCAGAGTCATGTAGTGAGTGCCTGGGACAGGAGGAGGACGCTCACGACGGACACGACTACCAGTGCGAGCAGGACGAACAGGCGACACAGGACGAGACTCAGGCTCACGACGCTCTGTAAGACCTCCTGTGGGACCAGCGTAAGGGGAGGGAGCAGGGAGAGGCGAGGCAGGCGGTAACTGTGACTGCGGCTGGACAGGCGGAGGACACTC